TTGTTAATCACCTAAAAAGCTAAAACTTGAGATACAGCAGGATAATAACTCAGCCTGCTGGGATGTAATTAGGGAAATGGTCAGAAGGGACCTGCTAGGTTCAATTTGATCCATGCTATAGAACAGATTTTACAGTTCTTTTCAATAATGTATTGCAATCACTTATTTTTCTATAGCTGCATGCAAGCCTGCTGAAATAAATCTCAAGATCACCACTTTCACATCACAACTTTCGTAAGGAAGCCCAGAACATGAAACCGAAACAGCAAAAGATTAAAAGATAACTAACAAAGTTAGGTTATTATGCAATGAGCCTGCTAACAGACCAGGCTATATATTTCCTGAGGCAAAATTAAATGACTTGGTTTTTCCTCGTGTCTTGTACGCGGTGCATCGCTTTGAAATGATCTGCTCCCAGTATGTGCTATAGTCCCCGTGCCTCCTCTACACATGGTCACATCAAAGCATTCTGCAGGCAAAGCACTGGCACCGCTATAGCACACCTTACGTACATGAAATCTGCATTATGTTCTATCACAGTAATGTTACAAACACCACAAAGCTGCCTTTTATTAACAATGTCATCAGGAAGCCAACAAAGTGGAACACTTTCAGAGTTAAACCAGCATACACTTGATGTTCTGATAACAGGCTGTGCAGGCTGTAACCTTCTTTTACACAATGCCTGTCTGATTCAACACCATTACAAGACTAATCTGTTTGATACCATAATAAATACTAACTTGCTAATAACATGTTGCGCTGTCTGCTGACAATGCAACCTGTTCAAAGAAAAAGCAACAACACTGCTGTATGCCACTGAGGCAACTTCCAGAAGGAATATCCTCCACTGTATGCTTACGCACTCAGGACATTATCTGTGTGCTTTAGGATATTTTCTCCTCTCCACAAGTATGTAAATAAACACTGATGTAGCTTTAAGTATAGCTGCACAGCATCCCATTAAAAATAATGCTATCATAGGTAAAAGCCATCAGGCTCTGCCTTGGATGTAGTCGTTTATTAAGTAAGCTTAGTGTACCACAAAGCTCACGGCCCTGGTTTAAGTAACCTTAAGAGCGAATGCTTTCAGTCTAGTGATGCTCGCCACAGTGGCGGGACTGAGTTTCACTTTGAGTTTGGAAATGTTATTATGACTAATACCGACATACAGGAACTCTACTGCAGAGGTGTGAGGGTGAAACTAGCCGTACCTACTGTACAGGATGAGCCTGGTCACACTGGAGCAGCAATGAGAGCTGAACGCTTCACAAGCAAAGCGAGACTCGCGTCAATATTTGCAGAGGATAAAGAGACTGCATAGCAAATCCTCATGACCATGTTAGAAGAAGAAGATGATGATGATGATAGGGAGCAGCTACCCAAAGCTAAGAGAGACCAGCATAGGGATCTTACCTTGGCAACTTTGCGTTATAAACAGGGTTTTGGAGACGTCCTCGCTGCTCCTGTCGCTGAGGTCATGATGAGGTCTGGGGGATGAAGAGGCGACGCTTTGTGATATATGATAAAGGCCAGTGAGGTGGGAGGGGGGAGACAGGCACCGTGCAGAGGTAAGGGAGGGTTTGGCTTCAGCTGCCGGAGAGGAGAAGAAGGAGCAGGAGGAGGGGTTGCACCTCCTTCACTTTCTCCTCTCTCTGAACTTCCTGCAATCAGGAAGCCAACATCACACCGGACAACCCGTAGGTGTTTTACTTCTGTATTCAATGTGGCAGCACAGTCTTGCGGCATTTCACTCATGCTGTTTGCACGTGCTGACGGCACGCTACCCGTTTTTAACACTTTAAACTTGATAAACAGTCGCTCCTTCCCTCAGCAGCCTGAACACACCTCATCGCCTTTCAAGCGTTTTATTTGGTCTCTGTGTTATATCGCCCTCTACAGGTCTGTCAGCGCCATCTCCTCCAACATCTTTGTAAGCCTCCACTCATTCATACTACCAGGTGTGGGAAGTCGGATTTTCTGATGAATTATTTATAGTGAAGATTTGTGGCTGCTTTGCTACAAGTTGCTCCAACTTATTTTGGAAAACTCTGGTCAACATTACTGAGACTTTGCCTCGGGTTTAATCATTTAAGGGTTCAGCCTAAAAGTGGTGCATTACATTGAAACGTATAACTATTCATTCTGAATTATTCTTGGAAACTTTTGAAGTTAACATTGTAATGTGTGCCCGACTCAGTTGAGCTTCACAAAGGCGAAAAGAACAGCATATTCCATTAATATCATTGCAAGGCGTGAAATATTACAGAACAAAGTCTGCAGAGGTGTGAGGCTGTTTGATCCCAGAATCCCTCTCTGCTGATCACACAACAGCTTTAACCTTTGCCCGAGTCCTCTTTAAATGAGCTTTGGCCCAAAGAACATGCTGGATCACGTTCAGACAGCTTCTTTGCAGTTATTGAGCTGTAACCTGCACTTGTGGACAGGAGGTTGAACTGTGTTCACAGACAGCGATTTTTGGAAGTGTTTTTGAGACCCTGCAGGGATTGTCATGACAAAAAAATATCACACCCAAAAGGGCCTGAAGATTACAGTCATCTAGTACTGAGCTTCACACTGTCACGATCCTGCGTCTCTGACCCAGCGTGTTCAGTTTCAGTTCTTAAGTTATCCCTTTATATGTTGAGTAAATCTGATTATCTTTTGGTTGCCTTTAGTTTATGTTTCACTTAGGTCTTCTGTGTTAGTCTGTCATGTTTCTTGTCTTCTTGTCCATGTTGTGAAATTGTATTGTCATGTCTGCTTTCCATTCTGTTTGCTTTATTTTGAAGGTCTGCATCCTATGTCAGTGTAGCCAGCTTTGCTTCCTTTGTGTTATGTCAGACTAGTGTCAGCTGTTTCCCCATGTGTTTCCACTTCCCCTAATCACCCTTGTGTGTATTTAGTCTTTGTGTTTCTCTTCATTCTTTGTCAGGTTGTTTGTCCTTTGTGCCACATTGTGTTTCATGCTCTAGATTCCAGGTATCTTTGTATCCACATCAGGTTTTACATTTTGTTTTTTTAATGTTTTTTTTGTTTTTTAGTTTCCCCAGTTTATTTTTTAGCTTCATCTCCACCTTTTGTTTCGTGTAGTTTTCACCAGCCTTAATAAACGGCTCACTTTCTGTTAACATTCAAGTTTTGTCCACGTTCCTTGATGTCTGCATTTTGGGTCCTCTTCGCAAATTTGTACAGTGTGCTGCCGCATACTGTGACACTCTCAGGCAGAGGTTTCTCTGGATTTTTTGATATTACAAATAAAAACCTGAAGTGGAGCATTATTCTGAAATTGTTCCACAAATTAATTTTTTTGCAGGTTGGTAAATCTCTGCCCAACTTTGCTCCTAAGAAATTCTCCAAGATGCTCTTTTTATATATCACTCAAGTTACTGACCTCTTTCCATTTAAACCAATTAGTTACATGAGGTTGTAAGCATTATTGTGAGTCCACTGAACTAAATTAAAACCAAATTATTTTAAAAGTGACATTTACTTCAAATAAACGCCCGCAAAAAACAAACAAACCATCTACTCCGATGAGATCCCGCCCCCCAGAAAAGAAAAACAAAAAACAAAACAAAAACGACACCCTCCAAAATAAGTTAAAACATTCCACCGCACTGCTGCCAATAGTCAGTTTAATTCATTCACCTGTGGGTACATACACTGCAAGCAAGTTGGGTCTCAGTCCTGCCAAGAATTAAAGATATGAGTCACCTGTAGCAGATTTAGGGAAAGACAAGTGTCAGAGAAAAAAGTTGATTTGTCCTCACAATTAGCAATCCAAGTTTTTTGTAGTACAACTCAAAAAAGAAAGAAAATTAAAAAGACAAGTCACTTCAATGAGCGCCGCAAAACATGTTTGAAAAAAACATTTGAAACTGACGTCAGTTTAATTTTTTAAATCTTAACAAACAACCAAACCCTTAATCTCACCACCCAAATGCCCAAAGACACATGTTAAAAAATAAATAAACACTTGTCATCATTTGATCCAGCTCTAAAAGTCCTTTACTGTAGCACAAACTCACTCATGCCAGAGCGAGCCCATCGTCTCGGAGCTTCCACAGATGAGAGCTGCCTTGCCCTCCTCAGTGTGCTTTCAAGACTTCTCTGCCAATCACACGACAGAGAGCAGCAAACTTCCAGGTGGCACTCGTTACAAGATTTACAAATCATTGCACTCTATTCATTTTGCACAGAATCCCAACATGTCTTGGGAATGAGGGTTGTTTTTAATGCCATCAGCAAAAAACACTGAGGTAGCATAATTAATACACAACAGAACAAAGTGAAATGGAGAAGCAGCACAGACCTTGAAGGTCATGCTTTTTCCTCTAATGTCCTCCTAGATCCATCAGTAGTTTGAAATGAGAATAATTTGTTCAATTTACATAAAATAATGTATATATATATATGTTTATTCTCTCTCTCTATAGATAGATAGATAGATATCTCCTTTATGAGAGCACAGAAACCTAAAAACACTGAAAAAAACTTATCTACAGTGTCCCTCAAATACTACATGCATCTTTTGACAGACTAATGTATAAAATTCATAATATCATCAAGGGGAAACAAGACACGGGTTAAACAAAAAACAAAAAACAAAAAAACAAAACATAAAACAGGGGAATAAAACATAAAGGAAAAAAATAAAAGTAAAACCTTTTCACAAATATTAAGTCATAGCTAAGGATGAATTTTTGGTGTTGTTTTCTATAAAAGTGAAATATTTGCAGGCAGAAATGCCAGAATGTGAATGTGTTAAAACAACAGAGGGGAGTAAAATAGACCAGCCAGTGGACTAAGATGGATTTCACTGTTTAAATCTACACAGTCCTCTATATCTGATTTACAACGAGGTGAACATGCTAGCAGTTTTCCCAGCTACAAAGTCAAAAAAGGACACACAGTGATTATTATACTAAACACACATTTCATTGTAAACAAACAGCTTTATCTTATGACTGACACACACCTCTGCTGGCTGTGTTTAAGGAGCAAACAGCTACATCATTTGAAAGAAGATATTCCTTTTTGTTTTTTCTAACAGTAGAAAAGTAGTTTCAGCGTTAAACTTTAAAAATTCACAGCCTTTAACTCATCTCCTTTTTTGCAAGTTTTTCACTGATGGTGGAAATCCTCTCAAGTTGGTCTGGGTCAGGCAGCTGCCAGTCGATAAAGATGAGATACATCAAACTACCGAAAACGCCTCCAACAAGCGGAGCCACCAATGGTACCCAGAACCAGTAGTTGTAACACCTGCAGAACAAAGAGCAGCAGGACATCACGGTTAAGAGTGCAGATTCATTATTTTTAACAGGTTTTACTTCGATAGAAGAATTTATCACAGTGAAAACCCCCCAGAGAGTAGCATATTAAATATTTAAATATCAAACTTCACTCAGAGTTCTTTAGTCTAAGATCAGCAGTTTTTGTTTTGTAGGTCGACACCTTCCATCAAGATCATTTCCATAGAAAACCAGGTCCGATTAATCTGTCTGCAGCCATCAGCAGTGTTGTTCAAGTTACTTGAAAAAGTAATTAGGGATTACTTCTCCAAAAAAGTAATCCCGTTACTTTAATGATTACTTATTTTCAGAATTAATTAGTTACTTTTTAAAAAACATGATAAACAACCTGAAAAAGTAATAAAGCAATAGGCCTTTCAGCCCAATTCTAGTTTTTTCTGCAGACTCCATCATATAAAATGTAATCAAATGAAAGTCTCTTTATAAAAATTGTTTTAATCTTTTAACTTTATGCACATTGCATCTAGCAAAAAATAAATTATATGCAACAGTCTTTGACTTGAAGAAATTTGTTTAACATTTAAACCTATTTTCTGCATATTCCAACATATAAATAAAACTATTTTTTGTGTTTACACTCACTCTTTCAAAGAGATGCAAGTAAAACATAGCAGAAAATAAATAAAATCAAAGACTCCGTCGTCCTGTTGCTCTTAAATCTATTTTAGCCTGTTTAGCAGGAGCGGAGCAGGCGGGGGTTTGCCCGGTGCCGTAGCGGTCATGCCAGTGGGAGGATCCGGGGGTTTCTCTGTGAATTTCACATTCCCGTGGCAGCGTGCTAGGGTACTTGCTCAGAAGTTTAGGGAGTTTTTTTCGCTGTAAAAAGAAGTTTTCTTCCCACGCATCATACAGCGTACGCTAATGTTTTTGTCACTTTTTACGTAATCAAACTCAAAGTAATGTCAGTGCTTCCACCCTCTATATATTATCCATGGTTGATCATTGATCTGCACACGTCCGTACCGAACATCGCACGCGCTTACATCATTGTCATGAGACACTCTCGGAAAAAAAATAAATAATAAATCACGGTCTAGTAACGCAGCGTGCTTATGGGAAAGTAACAGTAATCTAATTCCTTTTTTGCAATAGTAATCCCTTCCTTTACTCGTTACTTGAAAGGGTAATCGCGTTACTGCGATCAGTAACAAAAACAATCTGTTATTTCGGATACAGCTGAACAATAAGCTGAAAGGCCTGATAATAATTAATCAAGAAGCTATAAACTCAACTCAGATGAGATGAATTCCTCTTTGTCTGTTTAATAAAAGCCTTACATGTTGATCTTGTGTTAAATTTGTGTTTCTCTTGGCCTGTTTTGCTGTTTTTCTGCCCATAGTGTTATAACGCAGCTTTAAGTGTTTAAGACACTGTGCACTGAGCATTTGTGGAACCTCACGTCTCACATGATCATAAGATTATAAAGAGAAAACAGCTTTTTCATGGAAAAACCCTCAGGATAACTCTTCCATTGTCCAACAATCTTTGACATACTTTTGTGAAATTAAGACATAAACAAAGTTTCAATAAAACCAATAACTTAAGCAGATAAGATACTTACGTGAAGACCTCAGTCCCCCAGCCTGCAGCTAGGGTAAAGAGGCGAGGCCCCAGGTCCCGAGCAGGATTTATGGCAGCACCACAGTTAGCCGACATTGAAATGGAGATCCCCAGAACGACAGCTGCCACTACAACAGGAACCAGCTCAGAGGGAGCCGGGGTGTTCCTCTTTTCCTCCAAACCCAGGATACACAACAGCAACATGCCGGTGCCCACTACCTAATGAAATGTCAACTCATTACGTTGGGTACGGGAGCAGCTGCTAAAGATCCAATCCTGTTAATAATTATACTCACTTGGTCAAAGAAACTTCTGCCCACAGAAAGGTAGTCAGAGGGGTATGTGGCAAATATCGAGGCAGTCTCATTCCTGCCGTACACAGTCAACACTCCTCCACTAAAAGTCATTAAGGCATCTGCGACCGAAACAGAGGTGTTGCAGGAAACAAAACAAACTCATTTTTTTATTTATATGTCACAAAAATTAAAAAGACAAACCATAGTAGACGAGATAGACAACCCCCGACGCCACGAAAGCCCCCACCACCTGGGAGAGGGAATAGGGCACGAGCCTCGACCAGGACACCTTCCCCAAAACACAGAAACTCAGGGTCACCGCTGGGTTCAGATGGGCACCTGCAGGGATGTAGGGTACATATTTGGAGAAGGATACAGGAAGGTGAAAGTTAAAAATGAAGGTAATTAGACACACTGGCAGGTGATCGTGTCTCTGATTATCTGTGTTATCATATAACAGTGGATTGTCATAGGTATGAGCCAAAGCAAACACTTTGCAAAAGAAAGTAGATAATTTATTATTATCTATTATCTTATTTGTAAAGAGCTCTGGTGATAAATTTTGTGTACTCATTTAATAACTGCAATAAAAGTCATAATTACCTGAGGGATTTTAGACTGTGCAGAGCATATTGTAATGAGTTTAAATGTAATACTATGTAAAAAAAAAAAAAAAAGGAAATTTTAGTGCCCATTATGGATATCTTTAAATTTTTACCTGAGATGCCCTTGGTGAGATACATGGCTGACATAACTCCCACAGAGAAGGCCATGTTGCCAGATAGAAACTGGCCTTTAGTCTCATTGCTGGTTTTTACTTGTGCAGCAGCAGCACAGCCAAAGAGCTTTGTTGCAGATAAAGAGGACAGAGAAGGTGGAAGGTGCATGAGAAGTCAGAAGTTACTGCAAAACTCAGGTGAACAAAGAAACGAGATTTTCCACAGCTAAAAATGCCGACATCAAAACTAACTTAAATAGACGTAGAGGAAAGCACATGAGCAAATTTCAGTATATCTTTCTTGACTAACTAATTGATAAACAGAGACAAATTTGTTCTTGTTAAAGTGTAATTTAATGCCCTCCTCTTTAGACTTTGTAATGACCCGTGTTATCTGAATGACCATGTAAGGGACAGTATGGCTGTTACATTGTGATCTCACCACAGATGAGAAGATTTATGTAGAAAATTACATAAGTTGCAAATATAACTTCTTTTTAATATTTTTTTGATCTTTTTCTTAATTTTAATCTTTTTAATATTTGATATACAAGCATAAATTATTGTAATCTGTTCTAACTCCAGGCAAAGTTCCCAATAAAATCTCAGTAGAGATTCTGCAGTCAGGTGAAAACTGTTTTAGACATGTGGCACAATTAAGGGTTTCAATTTCAACTCATATGGATTGTGCTTTCTTTAAATGCATTACATCAATTTATGTATCCAACTTCACACGCCTGCATTTTTCAGATTACTTCATTTATGTCTTGCAGAGCTGACTTTGATTCCTACAGAAAACAAACATGCTTGAGAGAGATAAGACTGAGAACACCTTATAAATCCCATAGGAAGCAATTTTTTATTTTATTTTTAAGAAAATTACCTTCACCTGGCTTCAGCCTTAGTTTTAGTGATAGATGTAAAGTCATGTGACAAGTTTTCACAGAACAGGTTCTGCAGTACTGTGTAAAACTGAAAGCTCCCAGTCTTTCAGTGAGCCAGCTTTATCAGCAATAACTTGAAGTAATAATTTTCCATGACTATTAGTCATCAGTTTATGAGTCTCCCACATCATTGTGGAGGATTTTTTTCCCCCAGCCTTTAAAATATTGCTTCAGTTCATTGTGATTTGTGGGTATTTTTTATGCACAGCTCTCTTAAGGTCTCGCAACAGCTTGAGGTCTGCACTTTGACTTGAAATTGCAGCATGTTGATCATTTTGATTTTCAGTCATTCTGCTGTAGATTTGCTGCTGTGCTGGGATCATTGCCCTTTTGCTTGAACTGTTGAGCAGGTGGCCTCACATTTGACTGTAGAATACTTTGGTATACACAGGACCTTGTGATCTACTCAATGACTGTAGGTGCTCAGGTCCTGTGCCTGCAAAATAACCCAAATCATCTGATACAGTGGCAAAAAAATATTTTAATCTGATGCTATTATGTAGTTTCATTTTTTCCAGAGTTGTTTGATTCCGTAAACATTCAGTCAATGTGAGGGTATAAAATCAAACTCAAGCTACTTACACGTTTTACGCATAAATTTAGAAAATTAAAAAATAATAAACCTGAAAAATTAAAGGATAATTCTTAGACTGGATCTGGAAAAATTGTCCAGGGTTTGGGATATGCATATACACATTTCAACTCTTCTTTCTCTAAACTGTTTTCCAGCTTTGATTTTTTTTTAAAAACCCATTTGATTGATTCATTTTCTCCTTTTGATTTTGAAAATTACAATCCATCTCAAAGTCACTCACCATTAAGACGAAAGTTCCCAAAAATTCGGCCATGCACTCTCGTACTAGGGGACACCTCACCCTCATTGCACGTAGCTTCAACATAGCCGGAGTGAAATGAAAGGCCTCCACTTATCTCACCCCGCTGAGCACAGTGGCAACTGAGTGCTTCTGTCACTGTATCCCACCGCCCCCCTACCCTGTACCTACGGCTCTCTATTCACAGCTGGACAAACACTACTCGTTTACTCGGTCGTCTCACCTCACGATTGGCCAGCGCAGTGAGCGTGATTGGCCCAGCTAAAGACTGATACATAAACAGACACCATAAAGCCAAGAGATATTACTTAATACAGATACCTGTTGACTACTCGGAAGAAGCCGCCGAGATAGTTTTATGACAAAGTGTGTGTGTGAGAATAGTGTTTTACGCATTTCCCTAACAAAGGAAAGCTCCTCGAGGCTCGACTCTTCGCTTAATTTGGTCGCTTTATTCAACCTGAATAAAGCGACCAAATTAAGCGAAGCTGCCCGCTGTGGCGACTCCACGTGAATAAGGGAGCAGATAAAAGTCGCTTCTGTGTATGTGTACTGAAGCACTGCTTTAATTTGGCTTTTAACCTTTAGAAATACCATAAAAATTAAAAACAAACAAAAAATATAAATATGCTTTGTGCACGAACGTAAAGTAATGAGGAATATTCTTTTGGAGAAGAAAGCTTCGTGTTTACATGCAGCTAAAGCAAGTTTCTAAGTGTGTTGATATACAAGAAAACCAAGTATTGTTAAAGGGAACATTATCAGTTAGCATGAAATGACGGCTAAATAATTTTTATTTATTTATTTGTTTTGAAAAATTGGTCTCCAAATTGTCAAATGGTTATTTAGCAGGATTGGGAATGGATTGTCAAATCTATTAAATTAGTCTATCACGGATTTCCACAATAAAAGCACAAATTGCTGACGATAGAAGCCCCTCTCATCATCGCTGCGATGCATGTCACTGTAACCTGTGTCACTGAACTCTGGACTCTCAGAAGATTATGTAAGCTAAATATTTGCTGTATTACTGCTGATAATATCCAGAGTGATCAAGGCAGTAACATGGGATGAGGATTTGATACGATATAAAACATATAACTGCCATGAGAGATTATTGTGTTAACTTTTTCTTATCAAATTATCTGAGAAATCTCTCCAAAACAGAAACCTTGACTTTGTGATGGAAGGCTGTAAAAGTCACATAGGGATTAGGTATTATCATGTGTTCACTTTTATTAATGTTTAAAAGGAAAGAAACCTTTAACCCCGATCTAAATGAAGACGAATTACTCCCTCTGCTGGTTGTAATAATAACAAACATCAATTTGTTAGCTTTTATTAAAAACAAATATAAAGTCTCAATGGAAAAGTTATTAACTATTAACAGTATAGTACAACATAGTTTTTCACTTACAGGTACCAAATGATCTGTTTTGAACTGATCAATCTATCTGTTACAAATGTTGGTTGATTTGATGCTTGTAGGAGCCACAATTACTCAATGATTCGGCTGATAAAAAGGTTTGCCAGGCCTTGAGGTAGATGTAATCCTGTTAAAAAAGAGCATGTAAGAAAAATATACATCCTTGACCTGGTCTCCAAGCTTATTTTTCTTTTTCTTTAGGATATTATAGTTATTATACTGCCTGTACATAAACGCATTTTTAACTATATCATGTCCAGATTTCAAGTTCTTGCCCACTGAAGGAGATACAGCCTCTCATAGATAGCGTTTATGTTTTTGGTCTATCCCTTTAATCTTACAAGGAGTAAACTGCTTCCTTAATCTTCATGTTTCTGGATGCTTATGGGAGCGACGTAGCACCACATCCACAGGCCCAGGAGGAAGTGTTCTGATCAAAGTCCAGGCTTCTAAGCGCCTCATCCCCACCACGCTTGTCCCTTGGACTTCTAGGACCTCATCACCGGGATATACCATGTCAACAGGACCTCCTGAGGGTGGAAAGAGGGAAAACAAGTAATCAATAATGGTTTCTCTGAATGGGAACATTCTCCCTCCCATCATCCCCAACCAGGCAGATATCTGCCTCTCCCTGACACCTGTTCTGCTGGAGGTTTCTTCCTGTTAAAAGGAAGTTTTTCTTTCCGGCTGTCCCCAAGTATTTGCTCATAGAAGGTCGTCTGCTATCTGTTTCTCTGTATTATTGTAAAATGTTTAACTTACAATGTATAACAAGGATCTTAAGATGAGTGTTATTGTGATTTGGCCGTATATAAATAAAAACGAATTGAATTAAATAAATAGCCGAAAATCTACATTAATGTCAAATTTTAACTTTATGCTGCCATAAAAGTTCATATAGTAAACATATAATATTTAGGACTGAATCTTAGATGGTTCTTTATGATGCTGTTTTCTTTAGTTATGAAGAAATAATGCACCACATCAGCTCACCAAGAGTGACTCAAGTGGCTCAAGAGTTGGGAGTTTGCCTTGTAATCGGAAGGTTGCCAGTTCGAGCCCGGCTTGGACAGTCTCGGTCGTTGTGTCCTTGGGCAAGACACTTCACCCATTGCCTACTGTTGGTGGTCAGAGGGCCCGGTGGCGCCAGTGTCTGGCAACCTCGCCTCTGTCAGTGCGCCCCAGGGCAGCTGTGTAGCTACAATGTAGCTTGCCATCACCAGTGTGTGAATGGGTGAATGACTGGATGTGTAAAGCGCTTTAGGGTCCTTAGGGACTAGTAAAGCGCTATATAAATACAGGCCATTTACTGTATAACTTTAAGGTATTTCTCTATTGTTTTCATTTGTTGTATTTATTCTACAACTCATGTCAAGAGGAAATACTGCATTTCTTACACTAATGCCAAGGTAAAAAAAAATATTATTTTGACTTTAAATACAAAATACATGACAATTCAGTAAATTAGTTAGTTAATTCTAATATGAACAGCCAAAGTTTTAACAGTCAAATTGTGTAACAATATAACCCTATATATGGTCATGCTCTATTGCGAGTGCTTTTCTTCTGCTGGAGTTGGACCTTCTCCCTCCTGTCACAAGGCAAGAGATGGGGTAGACCCTGCACAGGTTGCCAGTCAGTCTAACACACAGTGATAACTATCATTACCTATGATCAATTTTTGAAGGCCAATAACCCTAACATGCATGACTTGGGGCAGAGTTTCATGCATGACTTTGGTTTTTACCTTGGAAGATTTTCTGGACGGTGAGTGGTCTGTTCCCCAGACTTGAGCCTTCACCTCCCTCCAGACTGAAGCCCAGATCCCGGCTGTTTTTCTGCAGTTGCACAGACACTGTTTGACCTAAGAGGAGGGGAAAACACAAATAAAGTATCTCATTTTCAGTTCAAGATTAGGAACGTCATTATCAGATCTTTGTTAAAGCATTACCTCTAATACTGACCTGTCTCATACTGTTCCGGTGTTTGTCCCCGACTATTTCCCTCTTCTCCTTTCTTAGAGCTGTCTATGATGTCCCCCTTCCTCACCACCACAACTACCATATCCTTCGCCTTTGCCCTTCTTAAAACCCTCAAGGCTTCCCAGTGGGTACTCCCAGATAGTGCTGTGCCATTGATGGATAAAACCTGGTCACCTTCCTTTATAGAGCCTTGCTTGGCTGCAACACCTGAGTGAAATACTTTGTGAACCTGAGCAGAGGACAAAAGAAAAGAAGAAGAAAAAACATAAAAATACTGCAGACACACATTTGAATATTTGCCAAGTCGAAGCAGGAAGTAGAATTTTCTCACAGTGATGGGCTTGTTTTGGTCCACGCCTCCTGCCAAACTGAAGCCTAGTCCGACTCCCACATCTTTATGGAGAACCACTACCTGCACATCATCATAGTCCTGAGGGACACAAAAGGATGTCAAAATACACAAAATGTTCTTGGTATATTGGGCCTCAGGTGCTCAGAGTTGAACATTTTTTGTCCTTTTTAAACTCAATTCAGTCGGTACATGACCTGGTCAGCTGCAACAGCTGTAGCAATATTAACATTACATGTAAAGTGCCTAGGGAAAGCCTTATCTAGATGGAGGTTACTGGACCAGTGAACTGACCACCGCAACCACAGCCGCAAAAATATCAAACAACTGATCATTAAAACCATTCGAAAGGTTTTAACTTCATGCTGTTTTTACCTGCAGGGCATCGTCCCCCAGGTTCCTCACTTCCTCTACAAGCTTGTCGAGCTCCTCAGCGGGCATCACAGACACACAGGAAAACGCTGACATATCTGAGCTCATTGAAGCGGTACGCCGGTTTGTTGACTGCCAGTCATCGCTGTCATTCTCTGAATCGTAGTCAGCTCCAGCAAAGTTACACAGGTCCGAAAGACTACAAGAAGGAAAATAAAATGTTTTAGGGGTAAAACTAATTATCTGCTTCAATGAGCAACTCCATTAAACCAGAAATGAACAAGCACGGTACGCACGTGACAGAGAAGCTCCTGCGATCTGACTGACTCATATTGCTGGTGATGGTAACTGAGGACTCTCCTGAGTCTGAATCATAGTTTGAATCATCATCTTTTTGGGTGCTTTCATCATCATCAACATCCTCATCATCACTAAAGACTTTCAAATCTGGGTTCAAACCAGCTATCCAAGCATTCAGGTCCAATAACCGTTTCTTGCCTTTCTGGGGTGTTGTTTGGATGTCTGGGGAGATGACATCTTGAAGGTTGTTGTTAGAAGATGTGGGAAGAGCGCGAGGAGAAGAGTCTGGATCTTTTGCTGGACATGTGAAGACGGGAGGGCTTTTGTTGTCACTGTCGGCAGTGGGAGTGACATCCCCCAGCTGTGCCACAGGTGAAGTAGTGAGTAAATAGCTAGGGCTGTTTGTTGGAGTCTGTTCATCATCGCTAACTGGTGAAGTAATATCAGAGTGTGACCTTTCCTTGTGTGAAGGGTCACAGGGTGGTAGTGGGGTTGGTGTACTGCTGCCTGTCACGTCTCTCTCACTTGCCTCTTCAGGGCTTGAGGCTTTGGAGAAATCTATCTCGTCTGTGCCAAGCTTTCCACTTACAGCTCTGTCACTTTCGTGAGGCATTTCTTGGGTAGTCTTGAGTCCGGAAAATTTTAAATCGTCAGTAGAGTCTATTTTTCTTTTCTGATCCAAGTCATTTAGTCCTGTCTGTTCCTTCTTTATTCTTAGTCCAATTTCATCCACTGATAAATTTCTGTCAGGCCAAACCTTGTTTACTGTTCCCATCTTTTTGTCTTCACTTTTATCTTGTGCCTCCCCTTCTTCTTGGAGTCCTGCCCACTTTTTCCTTAGCTCATTTATTTCTTTTGCAGACCCGCTCTTCTTCACTCCTTCATGTCCCCTGCTGGCTTGTGCTGGTACAGAAAAGGTACGTCTGGGTATTTGGACTTGGCCTGTTGCAAAACTCTGAGTTCGCTGTGTCAGAGCCTCAAACTGGTTGATCTTCTTTCTAACACTGGCTGCTGAGGAGACAGACAGAGCCTTCTTTCTCTCTGCTGTTTTCACATTGGTTTTCTGTGGATTTGTCTCAAATACATCCTCATAAGCATTGCCACCCTTCAATTCTGTTATTTGATCTGGTCCATCAACACTTCTAGTCCTGTCTCTCAACATCCCTCTTATTACATTAGTTTTTCTGTTTTCCTCTCCGTTGTTTGCAGAGCTATCGTCTTTGCTTTTGTCTCTGAATTCAGACGACTCTCTGAAAGAATCTGGTGTCTCTTCTAACAAAGTTTGTGGCTGTGCGTTTGCCCTTGCAGATCTAATCTGTGCAGCTATACTGGACCTACTCCTGGCTCTATCCAGGGACCTTGTACCTGTTTCCATAAAACCCTTGCCCCAATTAACTCCACTTTCCTCTGAATACCTTCCCTGCATCCACCCTCCTGGTGAGCTATCTCTTATGCTTGCCCCAGATGAAAATGAAGTCTCAAACCCTGAGGCATTGGCATCTTTTTGTGTCCAGAGTGAAAGTCCACTTTTCACTGCACTATCGCTCTCCTTCGAGAAGAAACTCATAGGGAAGGTGCCCCCTGCTGTCTTCTCATGAGGCTTTTGCTGCTGTGAAATGAGGGATTCTGTTGATGATTCAGAGTTGTTAGAGGAATCCCTATTTTTGTAGTCATCCGTTTTACCAAAACCAGTAGGTCCAAAGAGTTTCTCTATCCGCTCCATTATACTTTGGCCACTTTTGGGCCCCAGTGAAGCAGATGTCTCTGTGTAACTATAGTTAGATCCAGACAGGGATCTTAACCTGGTGGGGAGAGTCTTACCCCTACTGCCCCTTTCCAAAAGCTCGCTTCTCTCTTGAAGATTACTTACACCTACAGAATTAAAGGCCTGTATTGCTGAATTCGTGTCGTTTTCGCTGCCTTCAATTTGTGTCCTCCTTCCCTCCAAAGCTCCAGCATATTTACTGGTGTCCCCCTTATTGTTGTTGGACAGCTGAGAAAAGTCAGCTATGGTATTGGGATCAGGTTTTCTAGTGCCTGTTTTGAAATCTAAACTCTTACTTCTGCTTGTAAGGTTGGATCCCCTCCACGCCGATCTTCCCTGGCTTTCAAATGCAGGGTTTTCTCTTCTGTCAGTGCCAAACTCTGGGATCGTTCTGTTTGTGCTGACACTGCTGCCACTCCTAGTCCTGGTTTCACATCCAGTGACTGTGTCGTCATCCTTATTTGTACCGTTTGTGTTGGTGTGTTTCCTATATCGTTCTCTTTCTGCAACTTCTCCTATGCCCTCCCGTTTCCTGACACCTGAGCTGCGAGAGAGATTGTATGTGGGAGAGTTAGCTGAGCGGACGGTGAATTTCACCCCTGTCCTCTGCTTGCCATACTCATTCTGTGAAGCGGGCAGCAGAGACGAGTCCATTGTCTGAGAGTAAACAAAGTTAATGACCTCCTGTCAAATGCCAGATCCCAAAAAAAGAGCGGAAAAGTGAACTTGATATTTTCTGGGAGTCCAAGCGACTGTCTTTTAGATTGCACTCTGGAAGCGGTTCATCTAGGAGGCTCGCGTTTTGGGCGTGTAAAAAACAAATAGTGTCACAGTTACAATCCTCTCATTAGATTCTTCCACAGACAGACATCCTCAGTGCAGTAGTTTGATATTCCTAATTGTGCTCTGGTTTGCGGCCTGGAAGTGGTGACTCCACTGGCTCTTCTTCTTGTTTTGACCACAGGAGACTCCAGTTCCCCAGCTCGACCTCACTGAACAGCTCCCATTGCCTGCCAAGCATAAAAATGCACAAAATTTTATTCTCAGAATGGATTGGACTGGAATGTAGAGATGTGGATTGTGGTCACTTTGGCCACTTGGAATGGTCAACAATATCTCACAGTGTTAGAGGACAGGAAACATAAAATGTGGAGACTGATTCGGGTAGAAAGCATTAACAAATGTTAAGAAATTAGATCAAAACTAAACAACAACTCACTTACAAACCTCTGCCACCAAGCTCACTTTGCAACATGTTCTTGCTGTCCTCTCCCTGACTCACCGAACAGTATGACTCAGATAGTGTTCTCTGCTGTACACACGTATGAGACACCATGTTTACATAGGCAACATACTTGAAGTTACCTGTCAGCATCAGCTAAACCTGAACCAAAAACTGGTAAAACTCACCTAACAGCAATCCACTCAGCAAAAGCAATGTATCAAATGCCAATCTCTGCAGCACGTATCAGTCTCGTGGTCAAAGAGAGACAGCAGCTTGTTCAAATCGAACGGTCATAAGAGCACAGATTTACTTTGATTTAATTACAGCCTGCAGATAACATCACTGAGGGGTAATGACTCATCATGGTTATCTGTGTGTACAGCCAATGAAAACAATGATAACCATCTTTGATCGCTAATCAAGTCTGAATGAAGATCTAATCATTCATAATGTCATTAAGGATAAATTCTGCAAGCTGATGGTTTCCTGTAATTATATTTCATAAGAGTAGATTTACAGTATGCAGTGCTTTGTTTAGTTTAGGCTAAAGCATGGCACTTCCAGACAGTCACTGGAGGTGCTTTCCAGTGCAGGTGAGCCTGAGAGTCAGTTTACAGAAACACCTGTTATATTTTGCCCCATCTGCGTAAGCAGGGCAACACATAGTCATTCACTTTAAACTCCCCTTTGAATCGCAAGAAGGAAACAATTGCACCCTCACATCAAATGAAAATACACACATTTACTCAATTACACAGTTACAAATTAGCCAACTAAAAGTCCGCTCCTACATTCACAAAAAAGGTATCTTACCTCCTTTAAGTGTGTTTTCTGTACTCGTCCTGGGTCATTGTGTTAACTCGGATTCGTAATGAAGACATCGCCATGTAATGACATCAGCTCCTCGCTCCTGACTGCCCTTCTCTCACTCTTTGTCTGCTTCTCTTTACATCAGCTTTGCATGATAGAGTGTGTACAGTGACGCAAACCTGCCACACTGGTTTGTCCTCTCTCCTTTTCTTCCTCCCTGTCTCTCTGTCTTTCTCTCTCCTCCCCCTCCTATTGTTGTTCTCTCCCTCTTTTCCTTATTCTCACAGGGTAACATTCCTGACTGAGGTTCAATGTGTCACCCTTCAAACGCCTCGATAGGGAATGCACACACACACGTTTACCCACGTTTAAACACACACCCCACTAATCATTTGATATGAACATCTTTTATAGCTTCAGGGAGATAAGATACAGTTTCGATATTGTGTGAAACGGTACAAGCATGACATTTCCTAAAACATGGCCCGTAATGTCACCCCACCTCAGGCAAACCCGGGTCCAATCATCTGGGCTGAGCAGGTATCAAAATACATAATAACAGAGCACCTTTAATTGGGTCCAGAGATTACAAAGAGCCAGGAATACTAGCAGGGATAAATATTGCCATAAGAACACATCTCATATGTCATCTGTTCAACAAAACAGAGCTTCACTCCACACACACACACACTTGGTGAGAGTCAGTGGGTTTGTAATGCTGACTAAAGGGAAAAATATCTGCGATTGCTGATCATTTTTGTTCTCACAGAACAAGCTGTTTGTGGGAACAAAAAGCCTTTTTATTACAAATTTTAAAACAAAGGGAAGCACACATAAATGTATAAATTAATTTTTAAAAATGCAGCTACTTACAGTTTTGTTTTTCATGAAGAGGCTATCTACTTACTGCCGCCTTTTTGCATGCACCTGTGACTGTTACTTGTCTTCCGTTGAGACAGAGGAAACTGTGGTTACCACGCTAGCTTGCTGCACAACTAAATAAGAGAAGTCTTGATGTTTATGTGTGCCTGCTGAAATAAATAACTTACATACACAGACCCTGGGATAAGAATTAGGACCATAATGATCCAATCAATTACCAGCCTTCCGGACAGAGGGCTGGTAGCTTGCATAGTGCCTCTCAGGACAAAGATAAGTGTGTGAGTAGGGGTAAATAGCCCCATGCAACTCCACAGACACCCACCCTTGTTCCAGACAGAAGAATAGCACCCACTGTCTCTGCAGGATGGATGCAAATAACAGTTCAGCTCACACAGGCACACACTAGTGCTTGAAATTCATTCTTTAGGGTGTAGGACTGACAGACTGTGTGTTGCAGAAGCATTGTGGGAAAGGACAGTGTATTTTACAAGTAGGTCATTTGACGTTTAGAGTCAGGGAAGATAGAAATGTAATATGAAGAAGGAGAAAAATCTAGAAGCTGAAAGCTGGAGATGGAGATGACTTGAATTGACAAAGCATTTCAGTTTTTATTTTTATTTTTATGATTTGTCTGATATTGAGTTCCTTTCAAAAAAGTAAATTTTAGTGAAGAAATAATGAAGGTAACAAAGAAGAGGGTATTTTTTTCAAACAGGAGAGGACAGAGAAAAAGGGGAGAAGATGAAAATAAAGACTTTAAATATCCAGTCTTATAAGTTTTTGTTTTTGAGGAAGAAAAATAGAAACACATTGCTGAACCTCCTTTATTATAAAACAAGAACTTAGGCGTTTTTTTCTCCTATTTACATGTGTGAAGCAATGACTCTGTTATACGGTCATTGCAGTAAAGTAGCATCCGTAAATATATAGTTAAAATAAATAAATACATGCACACAGGGGCAGCGTCAGACCTGACGTCACCCCTGGCCGTACCGGTCACGTGACTACCGCGGAAGTCAACAAATCAGGCAGCGAAATGTAGCAACAAGCACTTTAGTCCGCTCAACTTCCCCGTTTTTGTCTTTTGTTCCTTTAATGTTGGCTGCTTGCGGTTTGAAAACGCCTTCTTAAATGAGACACGTACCGGGCACAGGACGCACTTTGAATCGACATTTATCCAGTTAGTTCAGTTAAAATAACAACAAAGTAAAAAGAAAACCGGCAGATCTTCAAAATGTTTAACGACTCGCTTCCTTCGAGAATTAACGTGGTGCTTGTGATGGCCTATGGCAGTCTGGTGAGTTTGTTTAACGTTGTTTGTGCTGGTTTAATCCAAACCGAAACAATGAACGCAGTCCCGGGTTACAGAGGTAATCGCGATGCTTGGACAGGTGCCTCATTCCTCATCAGAGGCTTGCAGTGGTTGATACTTTATCCAAAGACTCATTTCTACTTGATAATCTGCTATTAAACGCAAATAAAGCTGTTATTACAAGTTTGAACACCTGGATCCCTCAACCATGGTGTACTGAAAGGTACTAATAGTGTGTAAAATCTGTTTAATAAATATCACTGCAGCCCAATTTCTCCTTTGGTGCCTGTAGTTGGGCGATTAATCATAATAACATTCATAATTATTGTAATGTTTACAAAATGTCGACACTACACTGTGTGATTTAAGGATTTAGAGTGATGACTGACAACATTTACCCTTTGGAGGTGTCACAACCTGGCTCAGGGACTGTGGCAAAGAAATGAAGACAACAAAAAACAAACAAAACAATTTATTTATAAAACCACAATTAACCAATGGAGCATACTGCAGGGCCCAGGCGTGACTCATGTTGATGGAATTTAATTTATATAGCATGTTTAAGTTAAACATAAAAACATATGTCGGTTTAAGATGTCTTAAGGCAGTGAAAACAGCAAAATAAACGTTTACAATGAAGTAAAATACAAGTTAATGTACATGTGCATGCACACACTCACACACACAACAGACACAAAAAGATTTTGTGTCTGTTGTTGACTGTATGCACGGATGTCATTCACCTCAGATCAGCAGGCAGCTTGTTCCAAATAACAGCGTGATAGTAACTGAAAGCACCCTCATGTTCTCAGCACACTTAGATCTAATTCTGGGGACATTTAAAAGATCTGCACCTGATGACCTGAGAGGTCTTTTTTTTTTAACTGATTTTATTTGAAAAGGCACCATGTACAATATTAACATAAATGTTACCATGTGATGCATTGTTCCAGAAATATCTCTAATGTCCCTCAGGCTTTATCAGATTATATGTAATAGTTTTGATCAATTGCTTTATATTAGACTTAAAACTGAAATTTAAATCATACCCAGATATTCAAACTCACTCACAATTTCAATCTTCTAACCCTTAGTGAAAGTTTCTGGTCTGAAAAGACCTTCCTTTATTCTTACTTGTATTAAGAGTAAGACAGGACTTGTCAAACCCCTCCATGAGCATTGCAATTGTCAATTTACTCGCCAAAAGCTTTGCAGTTTTTGCATGTGTATATGTGACAGTATCATCTGCATACATTTGCATATTACTGACATGAGCCACTTGTAGAAGGTCACTGATGTAGAGGTTAAGATAAAAACCAGTACAAACCATATCCACGCTGCAGACTGTGCCATTATTGTCCTCTTCAAACACATGAAATGAAATCACCTGATTGCAGCACAAGTGCAAGTGGAACCGGTAAGAGGGAGTGATAGGCAGGCAGACTAACAATTTCAAGGAGTTGGATTACTGGGTCATTAATCGAGAACGGGTTATTGTAGAAAACTGGTTCTTGATATTGATATTCTCGATATTGGTCCAAACCAAATATTTCGGTCTCATTTCTGTTTAGTTCTAAAGAATATGCTGCCATTTACCCTCATTTTAGTCGCTACACACCAAAACAATGAAACAAAGACACATTTAACCCTAGGACTTGCATTTATTTACACTATATGGACAAAAAAACAGTGCCACCTACAGGAGCTGCTTGGCCATGGAAATAATGTTTTTAAAAAAAGGGAAACTCAGACATCCATCTAGCATTTAACTTTCTTTCAGATTTTTGTCTTGCTGTTCATCTTTGTCAAAAGACAAATTATGCGACTTGCCATGAAGTCTCGAAGAGGACCACATGTACTCCTTGGCCACAACGCACCAAAGGTTAAACGCACACTATTATAATGCAAGTGTGTTCTGATGTTTTTTGTGTTTGTGCTGAAGAATTGTGTCTTTGTTCCAGGAGCTGAGACAAGAAATTGATGCCAAGCTGAACCTGGTCCAGAAAATCCACTTTGAGCCTCGTCTGCTGTCTCCAGATGATGACCGGTTAATGCAGAGAGAACAGTCTGGTAAGAGGAGCAAACAAACACACACATAGCACGCACCACTCCTGAAGCTATTCATATAAATAGTTTCCATGCCTGTGCACTAAGTAGTCTGTGTGTGTGCACATGTTCCAGGTTCCTGTGACTATTTGTATAGAATGAAAGCACTTGATGCCATCAGAGATGCCGGTGAGCTTTTCTGTTACAGTTTGTTTTGTTTTGCCATGAATCCAGATTAAATCCTCCTGACTGCTACAGCAACATCTTCAACTGTTTGTCATTAGATTTTCCTTTTCGTGAACTTGGAGGAACGTCCACCGCTGTTACTGGAAAAAGATTTCGGACCTGGCTTCTGCAGCTACGAAATTCCCACTGCATATTCAGAGAAAACCAGAGCTCTGTCATCGACACGGTGCTAGATGGCTACAATAAAGCTCGTCATGGGGCAGAGGTCAGCATTTTCTCAGACGGTCCACAGCTCAGTCCTCTCTTATTTACTCACTGACTCAAGTACCAGGTTGGACCCCCTTTGCCTTCAGAACTGCCTTCATTAGTTCTTTATGGCTCAGATTCAACAAGGTGCTGGAAACATTCCTCAGAGACTTTGGTCCAGTTTGACACGATAGCATCACAGAGTTGCTGCAGATTTGTTGGCTGCACATCCATTACAGCACGTTCTAACCCTGCTATTCAAATGTCACAGGACAAACAGAGACTTAGCAGACCAGGCAACATTTCATGTTCTGTTTTCCGACATTAATGAGCATGTGGGAGTTGTAGTCTCAGTTTCCTGTTCTTAGCTGACAGCAGGGAGACCCAATCCGGTTTTCTGCTTGACAGTTCAACGTGTTTTGCTTTCAGAGATGCTTCTCTGCATACTTTGGCTTGTAACAACAGCTTATTTGAGTTCTCCTCTGACATAATTTGCTCAGAGAACTGCCGCTCTCTAGATATTTTCTCTTTTTCAGACGATTCTCTGTAAAACCTACAGATAGTCATGTGGGTACATAATTAGAGTTTCTGCCATGTAATTTGATGATGAGAGTTGTGTTGACATGTAGCTGAATGGATGTACCCAATAAACTGCCTGGTGAGTGTATATCGTCATCATCATCATCACATGAACAAACAGTTCCATATTGACCTTCCAGTGGGCTCCCAGTTTGTGTTGTAGTTCCGATGCACTTGATGTCATTTTGTTTGCTAATTCTTGTGCTTTTTCTTAAATAAAAAATGTATGGGGTCTTTAATAGTAGTGCTTTTTGTAACATACTGTGTAGCCCAAGGTATAAAGCTATATTATCCATATAATTTAAGTTTTCTCCGTATTGCCCAGCACGGCAGTGAAAATTTGACAAATCTTTAGGTCACTTAAAGATTTTATTCTGGTTTCAGTACCAAATCACTGATCTTGATGTTTTCCTGCTTTTATCTTCAGGCTTTTGGTGAAGCAGAATTCTTGAAGTACCAGGAAGCCCTAACAAAACTGGCCTCCATGTAAGAAAACACAGCCAATCCTCACGCTGCTCCCTTACAGCTTTTCCTTTAATCCCAGCATGGAATGTTAATAAGGCAGCGGGAACAATTGGTTCTCCTTGTATTGTTTCAGAGTGAAGTCTCAGAGCAGCAGCACTTTAAATCAGCACCATCAGTCTGCAGCCAGAGACCTGACCGGCACCACAGAACCTGCAAGCACCTCCTCTCCCTCTCCGACCCAACCCACCTACCTCTCATCTACAATGCAGCAGCGCAGCAAGAGGTCCAGACACTTCCTGGAGCTGAAGAACTTCAAAGACAACTACAACACTCTAGACAGTACACTCTGAAAATGAGCCCGTCCAACAGAAAGTCAAGGACAAGGCAGCGCTGCCAGTGATTACGGAGCCTGAAGTCTCAGAGTGAAAAGACAAAAACACTGCCTTCATACTCTAACATGTATTGCCTTGTTTACACTGTAGTGCATATCAGATTACTGTTACAGTGCCCTTTACCTAAGTGTAGCTTATGCATATTATTGCATGTATGTATTATTGCATGTATGCGTGGGTAGAATGACTCTAACCGACTATAGTAAGTAGGTTTGATTTGACCAAAACAAATCCAGAGCTATTAGGCTATGCAACAGCATAAGACAATCAGTATTTATTGCACAATGTAAACACCTATGCAGACTTGCTGAAAATAACCAACTGTTTTAAAATGTTAATAGTTACATTTTCAGAGAAAACCAGCATTAATTGTTGCTTAGTGAGAAAGAAATCTGCTGTTGATGTCACTTATGTTTACACGTACATCTTTGCTGTCTTTTGTTGCAGTGAATTTGACAACTTGTTTTGTTGATTTGTTTTTTTTAAGTCTTGATCATTTTTTTTACAGAAGCCATAGTGCTACTTGTTTTCAGGAACTGTGATTAATAAGTGCATTTTTTTTAAAAATCAGTTATCTCAGTGCAATGTGAATTAACAGTATTTCAGTGTATTGATGTATTTTAAATGTGGGGTATTGCATTATGGGAACTCTGTTCCTTGACTCTTAATGGTATACTGATATGAGAGCTGCGTTTCATTTTCATCTGCTTTTATGGTTTCCCAGGGAGGCATTTTAATGCCTGAATAATTTATTTTATGTGGTGCCTACTATACAATTTACCATCCAAATAAAACTGTGACATACAGTTGATTCTTGAGTCATTGGGAATTTTCTTTGACAAGAAAAACTGCAAAATCAAACTTGCAAACCTACCCACTGTGGCGACCCCTTGTGGCAAAGGGAGCAGCTGAAACTAGCTGTATTAGGCACACCGTGATAGTACTGTGTTAGACCCTCTTTCCCCTTCTGCTGCCTTTAAAGTCTTCGTGGCATAAATTCCACAAGGTGCTGGCGTCCATATTGACATGATAGTATCACACAATTGCTGCAGATTTGTTGGCTGCACACACAAAACTAATAGTTATGCTGTCGTGAATAAACAATTGGATTTCATCAGGTTGTATTGACCATGCATTCACATGCCTAGATGTACTGCATTGCTAAATTATTTAAATTAAATGTATGCGTTAATGAGTAGTTGATGTACCTAATAAGGTGTATCATTATATCATTTTGTAATGCAACTAGCGTCCAGCAGAAGGAGCCCGCGTCACCTTATTTCACTTGTGCTCTGCGTAAGAACTGAAAGGAAACTCATTGATTTTCAGTGATTTTATTCTAAAACAAACACAGATAGCAGATTAACAGGTACTTCGTACAAAAGCTTCTCTATTAAACAATGTCTCTAGGCATTTCATTTAACATTAATAAATATAGAGGAAAAAGCTGTTAGGTAGAAATCAAAACATCAAAATCACATTGATATGTACAACAAGAAGGTGACTGTCTGCACAGTGACTGAAATGCTTTACAAGAAATATTAAGAAAAAGGACGCCTCTCACGTGTCTGACTTCCCAAACATCTTCATTTTTCTTTCCGCATCCTCACAGTTTCATAAAGTGCCATACTTTTCGTTGGAGGCTTGACAACCATATATTTACTTACAAACAGCTCAGAGAAAAAAATAAATAGCCCATAAAAATAATCACAGGGTGTCGCCCTTATAGAGGCGACAGTCAGTATTTACACTCTAAAGCATTACACCGCTCACACAGAAAGGGAGCGGAGTCACGGAGGAGTCAGCAACGAAGACAAAGACACAATTCAGATAAACGTGTTAATGATTCTTCACATCGTGCGTCCTGACGGTGGCGTTAGCTACAGTTTATTGGCGCTGCATTGCTGTATGTGAATTTTATAATGTTGTTAGGAATTATTACCCCCTGCTCTTTGAGTTAATCATCATTAGAAACTTAAAGCAGGGCAAGCAAAAACACTTGCATACAGTTTGCAGTACTACACGTAAACTTAGACACACATCGCTCTCTCTAATGCAGCTACATTAAAGCGGACATTCTTTATGCATATGCGCAGACACGCAAGTGTGTGTGTGTGTGTGTGTTTGTATGTGTGCTGATAAACCCCTCCCACCCCCTTTTTTCCTTCAATATTGTTTGGTTTGGTAGTTGTGGTCTGATGTTCAGCACGCACATCGGAACCGTTCACTTCAGTCGACATCGAACAGGCAGTTGGTGCTTCTGAGCCCTTCTCAGCAGTAACTGATTAATTCATCTGCCCAGCTGGTTCATGACTTGATCTCGATGACTTTGATGAAAGGAAGCGGTTTGTTGGATGAGGTGGACAGCTTGATTGGTTTGCTGTAGTGATGAGAGGAGGATAAATTATTTTTTAGGTGGAAAACAGCATTTAACGCACCTAAATGTGTTGTTTATAGGTAATATATTGGAAGAGCGCTGGCAAAATAAGTCACCTGTAGACAATCTGGGCGTTGCGTTCTGATGAAAGGTAGGAATTTGACCTTTGTCCTCCCAGAAAGTAGTCCACCTGGTCGTGCATTTCTCGGTTCTGCAAACACAGGGAGATTTCAAAGGGTGCAAATTATAATCACAGAACAGACACTGGCTTCAGCTTTTCTCCTTTCGTCTTCTCTCTAATTGCAGAGGCTGGTCTACGTTTTACCCTGACCCTTCAATTTAAATTCCTCAGACATATTTTCTTACAGAAGAAGCTGTCCTCACCTCAGCCTCCAAAAATGCCACTTTCTCCTCCAGCTCTTTGATCACACGGTCCCGCTCCTGGATCACCATGCGAGAGTTCTGGAGCTAAAGACGAGCAAACATGGAGACAGACAGTGAGCGATCCCTACGCAAAGAAGACGGAGACAATGTATTTGCTTTATAGAGCCGCACATGCTCATCCCACCTGCTCGATCATGTGTCTGACTTTCCTCTGTTGGCTTTTCAGCATGTCATCCAGATGGTGGATCTTTTCTTTGAGTATGGCCACCTCCTTCTCCAACTGCTCAGTCCTAAAAACACACACAGTATGTTACAGCACGCTATTGAACACGCTATTGACAGATAATTGATAAGTGGAGAGTTTAACACTTATATGTGTGTGTGTGTGTGTGTGTGTGTGTGTGCTTACTAGCTGACCTTTCCGCCCCTTTGTGACCCTCCTCTCTGATCTTTCGCAGTTCCCGCAGTTCATCTTCACGGTTGCGGATGGCCTCCCGCAACGTGGCGCTCTCCTGCTCCATTCCTCCCAGCAGCCTCTGGAGCTCATCGATGCGCTGGTCTTTCTTCTCATTGGCTTCTTCTGTACTCCTCAGCTTCTCCTCCTGGTCACTCAGATGCTCTCTAAGCCTGCTGCCTTCAGCCTGGATTGGTCAAAAAGTTTTGTTCTAAATATCGCTTTCATGCAAATTATATAAATATGTATGTGTTTACTTTGTATGTAATATGCACGATGAATGCAAAGCCAGTGCAGCTTACCTGCAGTCTCTCTTTCTCCTCCAGGTGTTTCTTTTCTGCTTCCTGCATCTGCGCATATAAGCGCTTACTGACTTCTCTCAGCTTGCTTCTCTCTGCTTCGTCATCCACGTCCTAACAGAAAATAAAGCGCTGGATTACCCTAATAGTACTCAGATGTTTTTAGAATGATGTAATCAATACAATGATGGCCGAGTCTCGTAAGAGCTCTGTGGGTGTTGCCGCTATAAAGAAAACAGGCGTGTCCACGTGCGTCAGTGGCGCAGCTGGAACATGACCTGCGTTTCCCTCCTATTTGTGCCTCCCACACTTAGAGCGAGTAAGGTGTCGTGTGAGTCACAAATGTTGCTATAAGTGGCGCAAAAACAGTAAAAACCAAACACAACAGTGTCAGCTTCTTTGTTGTGTGTGTCTGCAAAACACTGCTGACACGCACAACAAGAGGATGCGACAAATGTCTGGCTTAGAGTCAGCGAGGATGAAGCATGCGTGGAATGAAGGGGGCCTGAAAACAATAACACACGCAGGCAGCGGTACATAGTGTGCCGGAACAGCTCTTCCGCGCATTTTCTTACACCCTGGGGTGCTGTAAACGTAGCTGCTTTTTGTCTGCCATTTTAATCCTCTTTTTCCCCCCATGATGACTTCGCTGTTTAACTTTACACCACATTCCATCTGTGAGCCTCCGGGAGGTGATTGCTTTACAGGAATCTTATAGAAAACGCAAACTGACGCAGATAGCCCGTGGAAAAAAAACAACAAGACACCACAGGACTGAAGCTATGATGTGCATACGTGTGTTTGCTCACCTGCCCGTCATCTTTAGCTCCTGGTTTAGTGGATGAAGTGCTCTTTCTGAAGGGGATTCCAACCTTCCACCCATTTGTGTGCGGCTGGACAGATAAAAGGAGGAAGTGCAGATGGAAAATGTTAAAGACAGTGAGGGGAGAGTTAAAGGAAATGCCATCGAGAGCTCAGGATGCAAGGCTAACAATGGCTTACCTTGTTTTTGGCTGCCATCTGCTCCCTCAGAGTCTTCAGGCAGTATCTCACCTGTGTGACACAAACACACAAAAAAGATATTGTTATAAATTAAGATATTATCTGAACATGTATGTTTTCTACTTGAGCAAATAACCAACACAGGAAAGTCGGGAGCTGAAGGGAATCACGAGAGAAAAGAGGCGTATGAGTGAGGATGATTTTACAAGATGCAAATTCTTACATAAGTTATAAAACAGGGACGACAGACTGTAGAGTTACTGTGTGCATTTGTGTGTTAGTGAAACAGCCAGATAGATGCTGTCCAGACACTGACCTCCTGTATCTGTGAAACTTCATCTGACAGCATCTTCAGGCTCTCTTGGTGTTTCTGCTGCTCTTTTTTGCGGGCCTCTAGATACACCTGAAACAAGGACATACATGAATGTATATACTGGTTTAAAACCAACAGAAGAAAAAAAACAAAAAAAACCACAAACAAAGAAAATACAAAGAAGCCTACCTTGATGATTTCTACCTGCTCCTCTGTGGATTTGACTGGTTCAGAGGTCAAAGCAGTCCTCTCGTTGGCTGGCTGCACCAGTGCAAAAGCTCGTCCGATTGGCTGGAGATTAGCAGACATAAGAGGAGTTCACAATTGGGTTTTTGCGTGAATAGATGGGTGTGATAAATTTCTAAATAAAATGTCAAACTAAATGCAGATGATCCAGAAAGGGTTTGGTCATATTTACAATCAATGCTGCAACACAGGATTCGTGAGAACTGGCAGGAATGAATCTGACTGATAATTAATACAAAGCTTTTTGCCAGGACCGTCTGCACGCTTGGTCAAATTAAACTGTTAACAGGCAAAAATGAAAAATTTCTTTCTGCGTGGGTGTGAAAGACCGAGAGCCTCTGCAATCAGGAGCCAGACTTTGAGCACTAATTACTATGGAGACTAACCCATAAACATCTGGCCAAAACGCAGAGAGGGAGTGAGAGAGCGAGGGGGGGGGGGGGGGGGGGGCATGCAGATAAAGGTGGAGACACATTATGCAACTGTGCTGGTGGTCCCACTGGTATTGGTATAACAATGGTTGTTTTGAGACACTGAGTGTGGGAACCCCACTAATGAAAAGCTGATGGCATCTTCTTACGCGGCTGGTGTCTTTTCTTTTTCCTTTTTTGAAAGCGCAGCTGTTCTGAGCTAATTACTGAGGATCGTAGAGAAGATTAAGCAACTGTCTGAACCTTCAGATCCAAAAATGGGGTGAACAAACCTTCAGCACTTCTTTTCTCATCCGTTAACATTTTAAAATCAATTCTCTCAGTTTAGCCTAATAGGTGACAAATCTATTCAAATATCAAAGACTCGTATTTTAAAACTCTAAACTCCAAACACGCTCCATCTGCTGCTGATCTAATGCCCAGGATCTGCTCTGTTCTCCCTTCTGGTGGTCAGAAGTTATCAGGTACAGGACGTGCTTACCTTGTCCCTGTGCTGCTCTGTGCTCCGAGCCGCCGCCTGGTTCTGGTCGTGAAGTGTGAGCCGCAGCCGCCTACACCCCTCCTAAAAAAGGCAGCGAAAGTAAGAGGTTGATGAAGTGAAGCCACAAAGAGACGGTTATGTGATGGAGAGGCTGATTGGGGACTATTTTGAGGAGGAGAGGGGGAAAAAAAAAAAAAAAGAGGAGGAGGAGAGACTGAGTCATACTCAAAGAGTGAAACAGAGAAGGAGGGACAGTGGGGTGGGGGAGTATCCAGTAAGAAAGTGTGCTATAGGAGCATCAGAACGAAAGAAAAAGTTTTCTCCCTGCTGCACAGGGACAGATTGTTTGATTTAAACCAATTGCTACAGACGTCAGAGGGACTTAGGCGGAAACCCTCCAGATGCTCGCAGCCAACTGGAGACAGTGGCTGGATTTCTGGGAAAGTACTCAGCAAATGTAATGTCAAGCAAGACGGAATATTTCCATGGCAACATAACCTCACAGTAGCCATAAACTGTCTGGCACACTAACAATACAAGTAGGCGGAGTAAGATGGAGGCAAAACAATGCACAGAATCAACGCTCGAGCAAAACGCACAGATATTTTCTTTCAGTCACAGGATAAAAGTCCCAAGGACGGGACTCCGTGTGTGTCTTCCAGTACACGGCGGCCTCTAATAAACAGTGACCAGTCAGCGTCTGTGCTAATGCAAGTATGCGGATGTTTGGGAGGAGGTCGGAGACATTATATAACTCGTTCCAGCCAACACAACTTGTTCTGTTCATTTTCCCGTGGGTATTCACTGTGTTCTCCTCAAGTCACCGCCAAACAACTCTAAACAGAAACTGATGTATGAACGAGTAATACTTCCAATCAGATTAACTGGTGATATATTACATGTAATCAGATAATTGGTTAAATCGTAAACAAAATGAACATATCTGTGTGTGCCTGCTCTCTGGTGCGTTTGAGTGGGAGCGTCTGGTCATGTTTAGCCACTTGTACGTTAATAGTTTATTCCTTTGTGTTCTTTCGGTGCTCATCATGCACCACAACAGCCCTACCTACATTTTGTTACCTTGCTTTTCCTTTCATAGACACTGCTTTAGGCGGTGTCACAGCAATCTCGCCTAAATGTCAGTTTAATTGGCGTTACAGAACAGCGATCAAGTCGCACGATCTTCATCTGCGGATGGACTTCGCCCTGCTGTCAGTTATAGATGCATGTTGTTCTCTGAGCCTTTAATACAACTCGGTGAAAGTGCGGCTAGAATCAACATTCGTGTGTGATTTCCTTTATCAACAGCTGTTTCTGTTTTGGTCAACAACTAGAAGAGAACCCAGTGAGCCCATCCTCCACTAAGGTCAATGCCAGTTTTTAAGGCATTTTGTCTGGATTGACACTTTAATGGGTCTTTCCCTCCCAACAAGCTTCATGATCTTCAGCTTGGTAGTTTCAGCCAAAACCTTCCCTGTTCTCCCCCGTAATTATAAGTTAGTGTAGATAAATGAAATGCAAAATCACTGTCTTCAAGTGATTTTTGAATGTAGATGAAATGCCACTTACCAAGCAACTCATTTAAAAAAAAATGTATCAATGAAAACAAACAAATAACCAATTCTAATCTTTCTAATCTCAGCTTCTATCCAGAGACCCTGTCTCATGTGCAGAGTGCGTCTCGATTCTGACCAGACGAGGGGAAATTAACTTGCTCGTGTTGCGTAATGCCACCATAAAAAGCTGCTGTAAAAGAAAAGCTTTGTGTTTAGAGAAGGTCTATGGCTAGATTAGCTGGTTATCTTTTCAGGATGCAGTGAAAGGGAAAAGGCAGACAGCGAGACGTGTGGGACTGATGTTCAGGAGACATAATAATAGAAAATGAATGTAAAAAAGGAAATAGAGTAATAGTCTTGGTGGAGGTCCAACCACAATGAAGAAAACTCCCCTTTCTTTCTTCATGTTCTCCTCTCAGATTGCAAATGTCTGTAAGCTCTAACAGGGTGCATGACTGGGGGAGGACGAAAGGGGAACAGTGGGATAGTTGTTAAGAAGGAATCCATCATTACACGACTTTTCTGGACTTCCACAGACAGCCAAACAAAGAGTCCACTAATCCCAGCTCTGAGCTATTCAGTCTCTCTGCTGGTTTGCTCTTTTATGTCCGCGGACACACAAAAATGCGGTCCTTTCCACCTTCAGCAACAACCTGTAATACTACACTTCCTGGGAACACGGACAAAAGGACCAGTTGGATGAGCTTGTAGACAGTGACCCACGCATGGCCACTGACACGCAGAAAAACACACATACGAGGTTAAGTGCACACTGCCTTTATAATGGCAGAAACATGACACTGAGCTTTACGCACAGAGTCCACACAGCTGGGTGCACGACAATGGACACAAAAGATCACGGGGTACCTGCAGGCAGAAAGGCTGAAAGGATACGAGGATGCTTTTCATCTCAGACTTTGGCATCAGGAGGCTGTAACTGAGGGTTGACTAGCAGTTTAGGAATGTTGCTGTTAAACATGCAGAGTTTCTGGATTTGTCCCTTAGAAATCGATCCCGCTTAAAGAGGAAAGAGTTTATATTTCCGAACAGAGGTAGGAGCAGGTATCGCGCCCTTTAATGGTAAAGCATCCCCTTGTCTCTACAAGTGTACTTCCTGCATTCCCCAAAAAGAAACATCCTCTAATGTGTGTGTGTTTGAACAAACGTCTTTGAATTAAATGACATTCCTCCTCTCTTGCACTGCTTTCCCACACGCTGCACAGGTGTCACTTTATCTTTTGTCCAACTGCATCGTAAACCTCGGCCTTTAAAACGACAGGTGCAATCCGAGCATGGCCGCCTGAAAGCATTCCTGTGCTTTCAGGTAGTTTAGTAACAATGTTCACACTGTTATTGAGTTTCAGTGTCTTTCTTGCATAAAGGAAACGGGAATATAAACACATTTGTATAGAAAACCTTTATTTCAATAGGCGTAACCCAATAAACCTCTTACTGCATCACATGCTCTCTTGACACAACTGATTGGCTGAACAGCAAACAATAACACAGGGAACTATGTGATCAAAGATTAGGTAAACAAAACTACGGCTCGAAGCTTCAACACCAACTTATCGGTAATAGAAACTGGATTTTATGACCACCTTTATATTCTGCTCCACCCAGCTTTGGCAAGCACAGGGAGTTTTACACAAAACCACAGAGATGAATCAAAGTTAATCAAAATAGGACTGATGCACAGTTAAACTGGTAACTTATTTATCATTTCAGTGTTTCTTCATGTGACTAACCTGGTGCTCGCAAACCTCCAGAGAGGCTGCTTTTCTTTGTCACATAAGAGAATAAATTAAACACCCACTTTTGGATTTTGGACTGTGCTGAGAAGCTATGATGATTGTTATTCAATTAATCATTTAATCTTAGACCATTACTGGACGATTAGGTGATAATTATAGTGCTGAGCCCTAGTTTATGCATCTGTAGCTCCTGCGGCAGTGAAAAGGTGTCACTGTCCCACTGACTCAGCAGGCTGCGCCAATTAATGGGTTCAATTAGGTTAAGTCCATTTTAAAGAGGACAGAGGAGCTGATTGTTGCGTGAAATGCCATCATGTGAGAACCTGAACAGGTGATGATAAACAAGCAGTCCAGGATCAGAGTTCACAGTGACAGAGGACACTAGAATCCCTATAATCAGTCATTTTTCTGCTCTGTGTGGCAGGTAAAAAAGGTGTTTGCGGGCATATTGCAATCGTGTCTCAACACAAATGTGCCAATAAGTCATGTCTGGCCCATTCCCAGCTGGTGATGTCAGACTCTCCTGACTAAGATGACTGATGATGAGAAGAGACGCTGGGAATGTGTTCAACAACATGCAATTGTGACATCACTTCTAAACATTGCCCGAGCTGAAAATAATACCTTGATAAATCCTGCTGTGCAGGAAAGAGAAAGCGCTACAGTTTCAAACAATAGATTAAAAAACCCTGGGATTTCTGGTCACTAGTACTAACCTTAGAGCACTCTTTGTTTCAGAGTCAGTGCTTCTTGTTCCTTCTATTTTATTTTTATCACATGATCCCAGTTCCCGAAAACATACTTAACAAATGAGCTGCTGAAGGCCTCTCTGTGCTACATCAGGCACATTCCTCCTCCTCTTGTATCCTTACAGACGTGTCACTGATAACTGTGTCATTAACTAATCTGTCAGCACCCTGCAGCCGTTACAGTACGCCGAGGTGAAAGTTCCTCGGCTGCTTTTTTAACTAGGAACAGCCATATCAGATGCAAATACTGCAGGTGGGTGACTATTTGACTGCTGAATTTGAGTTTGTTAAAGATAAATGTATGTTCTCTGTGAAGCTGATGCAAATGTGCTATCAGCCTCATGTTCAAATGTCATGTATGATTAGATAAAACAAAGACTGGACAAACATAAAGTTTCGTATATTGCCCCATAACACATTCCTGAGAGCTGTTAATCAGTTGTATGTAAGTGGCCCTTTGTACACGTTGACGTTTATGTCTGCTTTGTAGTTACACAACAGAAGATCTAGACCAGTGGGTCCCAAATGGTGCGGGACTTTGTGCCAACCATAGATTTTCATCACAAATGGACAAAAAATAATGAATTTAATAGAACTTTAATACATTCATACACATCAAAGGGTCTGATTCATTGTAAGTAAAATAATTTGCCTTCCCGTCGAGCTCAGTCAGACAATATCTAATTAAATTAAGAATTTAGACGACCTTCGGGTTATTTTTAAACCCGAACCCCTTGAAAGTTTTACACGTTTCTGTAATATGATTTGATATGAGCTCAGCAGGGGAGCGCTGAGGTGGAAAGTGGAGGGTATCATGTTGCCCCGCAACCTCATAAACCACAGCGCAGGTCAACAGTTTGTTTTTTCAGGTGAGGTAAATGATTAATGCTTTTGCTGTCACGCAAGCAAATAAAGCCCATTCAAGGGATGTAAAGTATAGCTTAGGACTACTTTCTTTACAGGTTTGCAGCAAAGCACACACATAGTGAGCTGATTATTTCTGGTGATCAAACCTGCACATGGGCAGGTGGCACACATACTGCACAAGCACAGCCTTTAGTTCCTGAGCTGCCTTCACTCTCTGTAACTGTAAGCCTTTAAATGATGTGTCCAGAAGGTACTTGTGACAGACACAGATGTTATTTGGATTAATACTGAGCTGCCACCTTGTCTCTGTGGGTAAGAGGGGTTAATACCTTAATTGCAACAAAGCCAGGGACGGTAAATGCACCATTTAAAGCAGGTGAAGCCACAAAATCAGAGGGCAGAGTACAAACAAAAAATGAAAAATTGAAGAAATAGTAAATAACGTAAATTAATTAATTACAATAAATGAACAGGAAATTATCCACCCTGATTTATTTCTGGTTGGGTCATCCATTGATTAGACCTTCTTCAGTTAAGTACAGCAAACGCACAAAGACACAGAAATCCACGTAAGCTAATGTATAAGTAACTTACCCCATATTCTTGACTTCTGATGTCCTCAAAGGTGCACAGACTTCTCGTCACTCCGTTCATCTCTCACAGAAATAAATACTCCACACACACAATAAATAAAGAATTCAAAGCTTCGTCACGGTGTCTCTCTGCTGACCGCACACAGCAGCTCAGTCACTTTATCAGTCCTCGGCCCGGTAAGTGTGTGGGGAGCTACTTTTCTCTGCACGTCACAGTGGGAGTGAGCCACAAAAGCATGCGACCCGCCCACAAGGAGACCGAAACGGCCAAATAGGGAACTAGGGGAGTCGGGAATAGCTGAGAGGGGAGGGTCAGCACCGGTATGACAACTTCTGGCACAGTGACTTCTAGAAATGTTACATCCCGATTATCACACGATGTTCAGAGAGCCATGAAAAAGTAGTAAACAGAGGAATGTGATGGCCCCTTGCTGAGCAGCGGAAGGCAACACCTACTGACTGCTGTCCAGTCAGCACACTGCTCAATGAATTATTGAGCGAGCTTGAACTCCTGACTGAGCCTGTTTAAGAAGACTCTCTCCTAAGATTACAAAGCAATGGAAACCAAAAGACTGAGTTCAGTGATTTGAGGCATTTATTCTTATTATTATTGATGTTGTTGTTGAACTTTTCTCACCAAATTCGACATGTAACTGCAAACACAATTGTTCATATAATACGTCTGCCCTATGTTAACAAATCCCAGATACTGTAGAAACCCATCCAGCCACAGCAGGTTGCTCTGCAAACATATCAAGGTGGAAGCAGGCTAATTAATCTTCTGCAATGCATACACACTGTTACTATGGTGATGGCCATATTCAGAATATACAAGTAATACCTGTGGCCTACAGCACACTGGCCCCACCCACCTGCCTTTCAAAGCTTCTGTTTACAAAGGGCAGCCAATCAGAAGGGACGAAACTTAAAGCAAGGTATTGGCCTTAAAGGGGAGTACGTATATTAAAAAAAAAAAAGAAGAAGCAGATTATCTCAATTAAACCGACAAAAATGCGGTGATATGGGGAAAAATAGGTACTCGGTAAGTAAAAATCTGCAATACTACAAGTTGATATGTAAAAAGCAAAAATATAAGGCAGTAAGATTGCTCTAAAAGTAAAACAATCAAATAAAGCTAAAGAAAGAGTGTAATTAAAAGGAGAAAAGAAGCTGTCACAGTGAACATGTGTTACTTATTTATGTCAAAGCTACTTATTTAATGTGTTGCCATCGCCTGAATGTTTTAGTAATTGTGTTAATGTGTTTTTGACTCCATGTATGAGTCTGAAGAATTGGTTTTACTGTTTTGATGTTTAATATCCTTTATAGTTATGCTTTTCGGTTGCCAGTCATATCCTTCACAGGCCGCATCCATGGCTTTCCCTTATTGTCTGTAAATGACATCAGCGTGCCAGGGACTGGGGGTGAAAATGAACGTATATGGCCAAATATAAACCCATTCCTGTGAGGTCAGCAAAGCACAGCTCATTCACGATATCACTCAACTGCAATACCAAGCTAAGCTTGTTTTCACTACCAGGTAAATGGCTGATTTACTTTAACTGAATTGTGAAATTGTTTATTCTTTGACAGCAAAGCATAACCACATGTCCTCACATAACAGTTAACAGTTCAGTTCAAAGCCTAAAAATGATTTACAGCATTTCAAAACAGAACACATGAAATATTAAAATGTTCTCTTTAATCCCTTTAATGTTGACTTTACATAAAACAGCACAATAAGCTGTCCTCCAGTCACAAAACAAATCAGTCGCGTCCAAAAGCTTGACAAAAAGGTTACTTCTTTATTTTCTTTATGTGCTTATTAATTTGTTGGTGCCAGGCAGATTTTTTCAGCAGTAATGTAAAACTCCAAAGCTTACAAAACATTTATTGTTCCTGCAGAATTCCTACTGTTGCACGACCTGGGCTGCATATTTCTACAGGCCACCCCGAAGGCACAAAGGTGACAGAACAAATGAGTAACAGAGTGAGCGTTCCTCTGCTGGCATGTAGCTGATGCAGCAGCAGCTGATCCAGCTCTGCACAGACCTCAAATTGGATAACGACTTTAGCGGCGTTTAGGAGCAAACAACAGCTCAGAGTGACACACAAAAGGATGATGTTAAGTGAATTCGAACCAGGAGCAAAAACCAGGAGCACAAAAGCAGGAAAAGCCTAACCAGACATTAGCGAAATTGTCTACATGACCCGCATTTTTAATAAGTAATCACTTCAGGGTAACCAGTCACTAACCAAGAATGTAACCTTTATATCAGAGTGGTTGCTTTCACTAATGGTTGATTTATCACTGGGAATGAAGTTCCTCCACAAACTAGAAGACCAGCACGTGTACACCTAATGCACACACCAAGCAACAATCCTAGTCCTGATTATGAGTTTACATCATGCCATTGGTCGCATGCAGACGCACTGATCCAGAGATCAGACAGCAGACTGTTATGAGAGTCTATGTTTTCATACATGCACGCATTAGACTGAGATCACAGAGTGAGTCAGACTCCTGCTAGTTGCATTCAGTCGTCCTTCTTATCTGTTTGGAAGAGTATGTCTTAAGTTGTGCCAACTTCAAATATGCACATAGCCCGGACGAGCTTTGTGTTTTCAGATCCTCAAGAATCTGACACGCCTGTCTGGACTAAAGTCTTTGTAGACGACTAAATGGAAATGTCTCATTGGCTACCGCTACCTTAAAAGGGCTAACACAAGTGAGTCAGGAAGAGTGCTGCTCTGTGAACGTGTCCCTGCTGAAGCCCAAACATAACCAGATAACAGTTTCAACAAACGCTGTGACAGAAAAAAGCAAATATAACAAAAGACCATAAAACAACCTTCATTTTATACTTACTGGATGTACTTGGTGAGGGAGAAGGAAAATCACACTCAAATAAAATACAGTATTTATCTTTCACATACTTGATGTCAAATCTGGAACCACTCTGTGTTCGTGTGTGTGTTTCTTAACTTAGATACTTCTAGCTTATTGGGATTTGTTCATCTCACTCCCCAGTGAGCCAGTGTGCACGTCTGATATGGTTCAACAGAAATTCCACCAATACTGTAGGATTTTTTTTAACTTTATGCACTCATCCTTTAACTCTTTCCTACTTATAGACAACATTTGATAAACCTCTTTTGCACCTTGGTATATATCCATAAAGATGTGGTTTGCAGCTTTTTCCAAGGGTAGCTGCACAGGCACAGATCACACTCACTGCTGATGCACATCCAGTTGTTTTGAAGGTTATTCCCAGTCGGCTTTCAAGGTGTAAAGAGTTAAAAATAAGTCGACATTTTACGCATTTCTTGAGTTGTACACATTGTTCTGGGGCATTAAAAAAATGAGTTTAAGCCAAAATTCAAATATAAAAGACTGCATTAAGTTTTTCCTAAATTGAGACTTTAAAATATTGATATCTAACCATGTGACCTGAACAAGAACACAACATTGTTTGACCTGCTATAACTGGGTTAAAAGTGCACTTCTGTGTAATGCAGAGAGGAGCTGACAAACTGATGAAAATAATAATGACGCTATAAGTGTGGTCACATACTTTAGATTATCAAAGTGAAGCTTACAGAAAACAATGGCTCATTTCCTGTCTTGAGGGCTGCGGTTACCACTGAGGATGCACAGGTCATGTCCTTACACACAGATAAAAAGGATGAGTCCCTCTGGAGTGACTCTTTTTTATTATGTTTACTTCTAGGGAGCAAAATCACGAGCTAATCATCTACTAAATTATAACAAGCAGAAATACGGGAGGTGGGTTTGAGCAGTTAGTTAGAAAAGTTGAATTTGGGCGCTGTTGTCAGTTTCCTTGTAAAAAAAGAAAACTTACATAACACGCTTTAGTGGAATCATGATATCAGAATCTGGACACAGCCCTCATTTAGTGTTGAACACAAGAAAAGTTATTTTTAAAGCACTGCACAATGACAGTCTTTGCTCCACTCCTTATCTTTTTTATTAATTGTGCACTGCAATTACAACAGAACAACTGAAAACATTAGTCACAGTGTGTGGGTAATTTCACTGCTTGTGTTTTTATTGTGTTTCTACATGTGAAACCCCTGAAGGCAGACAGAAATATTTTCACACCTTCGGCAGGGCTGTTTCTCAACAACAGGAGCCATACGTAACGACAAACACACCACGATTTCTAAAGCCAACACACCCAGCTCTTTGGCAAATCAGCTCTCAGGTTTAGCTGTGTGCTGGAAAACAGGAATCATATGGAAACCCAATCCCACCCACGGAAAGTATGTTCTAGTCTAGCAAAACAGGTATTGTACAAACATTAAAGGTGTGACTTCATGCCAATAAGTTTGTTCCAAGAAAATATTTACAAGTTCAACTCCCAGTGAGAAGGAAAGGAAAGGCACATTTTACCTCTTTTGTAGATCAATCGCACAATAGCTCCATGGGAGGTAAAATAACTTTGTTAAAAAATCAGCAAGACTTAAAGTCTGTGTGCTGATGTGCCAAAAAGGATGTAAACACATAAATAACCCAGGGAGTTGGTGAAGTGTTCCCTCCAGGGTGCTGACTTTGATATCTTTTTTAAAAATGCAGCAAAAAAACCCCTAAAGTCATAAAATGTTGTGTCTTAAAGAGCAAAAGCCACAGATTTGTTCCCAGTATAGTGAGGAGAGTTTGCTGATTGTCTTCTTTCATTATTTCACTCATTTGCACTTCTGTAGAAGCTTCCTTGAACTTGTTTTCACGTTGACTCGGTACATTCCTGGAACGCTTCACCCAGTTGTGCTTCTGACACCAACAAACCATCCATCACTGGGCATCACTGGGAGATTCACGGTGCCGGCTCAAACACACTGGGCTATTTGTAGTAACCTGCATCGCACGCCCTAATCCTATTTACACAGTTAGAGCTTCGACAAACAGACGTTTTTAATTCGTCTTAAGTCTGTCAGGGTGTTGCACAGGTTGGTTTCGGGATTTTCATGCTCTTTGCTGTGTGAATGTCCACTTTTAACAGTGTAATGTTTAATTATGATGATGATAATAATCGTGCAACTGTTTCTTTAAAAAAAATGATTCCAGTCACACAATAAACAAAGTTAGAGGCAGATTTGGCTTAGAGCGTTACGGTCATGTTTGTTCCAGAAATGTAAACACATGATGATAACAGTGTACTGAGAGCGCGGGAGCCCAACGCACGGTTGATTTCTGCTCTTCTTCTGATGTCGCTTTGTGAAATGTCAGATTTAACTGAGAAAAGTGTCTTCCAGTTTAACGTTACTAAGTCTTGTTTGCTTGTTGCCTCATCTTTTGTTCTCTAACTGGCCTCATCAATGTGCCAGCATGTCAGTTTGTTCTGGGGTGTTGGAGAATGTATGAGCTGAGTCAGAAAGCTGAAATCTAACAGACAAGAAAGAAAAATATTCATCCAGATTTGACTGACCCCTGTAATCACATGGATGTGTGCCTGTGTTGATAAAATCTTTTATCAGCACAGCAGCTGTGGTTGATTCTGCTCTGCTTGATGGATATCACAGGCGTGATGAGCAGAAACAGTTATGCAACAGGAGACACCCGGAGTCAAAACAACACTCATTTGTGGCCTCTACAACAAGCAAAATGTGCAGTTTTAAAACAATTTATAGCTTGTTGTTCTATTCTGCCACAGAGCGGAACATCAGGGGTGTACTTTGGATCTCGCCCCATGAGAGCTCGGACAGACTCCAGCCTCCTGACAACTCTGAACTGGATAAGTGGCAGAAGATGGATGCTGTTCTTTTTGTTATTGAATCTACAAAGTGCCAAGCTAAAATCTGTGTAATTCTGCTGTCATTCTCTCAAGTGTTCATGCAGGATGTATAGGCTACTTCACTCACTTAAGGAAAGACGGACATTTAAGGACTCAGTACACTTGAAACTGTGTGATGAAAAAAAAAAAAAGACAGCCACAGAAGACTTTTTACCACAGAATAAAAGTACAGCTATGTTAAAAACATTTATGAATGAAGTGTAAGTCATGCCTCTGTGTTAGAGCCTTGGGGCAGGTAAACTGAAATAAACAGAAACTGTGTTATCAGAGTTATTAATTACACCTGTGGTTTTCTGTGCACACTGGCAACATGTCATTAAAAAAAAAAACATTCCTCCAAAAGAGCTGGAAGCAGACTGGAATAAAACTGCTTAGAAATCATAGCCAGATCCAAATACGCACTTATCAAACAGTAATAGGAAACAGACTTCAGTGGAACTCTCCTTTAATTCCTGAGAAGTTTGGTGCTGCTGCCAAAACAAACATGAGCAATCTTTGCGATATTGTATCTTTGGAAGTGATACTATACAGAGAGCATTTATCAACTGCAGGTTTAGATTAGAAGTGACAAATGTTAGTTTGTAGATTTCTGTGTTATATGTGGCAGCTGAGGGTTAATGTCTAGGTGTCTGTGAAGGCTCTGTCATCCAGGTCATGGTAATGTAAGGAGCTTGGAAAGACAAGCGACTCGACGTCTTTCAAGTTATTTTCAAGAAACGTTAAAATTCATCCAGTTGCTTTTCTTTCCAAGCTCCTTAGGCTAACGTCTGCGGTTACAAATTCCTTCCTTGTATCAACAGTTTGGGCTGCTGCTGGTGTAATGGTGTGGGGGATATTTTCTTGGAACACTTTGAGCGCTTGGTACCAACTGAGCATCATTTAGAGCGTATCTGAATATTGTTCTTCATCATGTACGTACTTTTATGACCACACTGTGCTCGTCTGATGGCTGCTTCCAGCAGGATAACGTATCATGTCACAAAACTCAAATCATTTCAAACTGTTTTCTTGAACATGAGTTCACTGTATTCAAATAGCATCCACTGTCACCAGATCTCAATCCAAACCAACAGAGCGCCTTTGGGATGTGGTGGAACGGGAGAATCTCTTCATGGCTGTGCAGCAACACTATGTGCAGCCATCATGACAATATGGACCCTGCTGTCTCAGTCAATGAGAGACACACAGAAAGAGAGGCAGGCTAGGGTACAAAATTCTATCAAGTAAAAACTTTCACTGTGAAGTAGGGCTGTTGTCCTCTTTAAATTAATAGATTTAATGTGGCTTAATTATTGCAATACAAAAAAACAAACAAACTTAATTACAGACAGCTTTAAATGTTTACAGCCAACAATGACAGCGTACCAGCATCTTTTGATTCAACATGTTTATCTGCATTTAATAAATCATATTCATTACTATTTTCCAGTTTCTCTGAAAACAGTTTTACACTACGGAAAAAAGTGATTTTAACTTCAATTGATTTTTCAAAAATGTTTACAAAATTAAAAAAAAAAAATCTACAAATGTTAAATACACTTTACAAAAACTCATTGTCAAGTGAATTACAGATGATTCTTTAACAACTTCAAGGCATTATAATTACGTACAAAGTAGATACAGCATAAGTTTAACTGGTTTGATATAAGGGAATGCACAGGAGCTGCGCAGCTTTAATCTTCTGACTAATTGAAATTTTTGGCCACTACTTTTGCTCTAAAAGTGAAAACGCTTTTTCATTTCATATTCAGAACAGTTGTTAAGTGAAAAGACTGTTTCCTGTCAGGATGGACCACAAAACCAAAACACTGGAAATCCTGGAAAACCAGGAATCCTCTTCAGATGCAGAAAAGACTCACCAGGTAAGTCTAACCTGAACTTTCACACATTCTTCCCATTTCTCCCATCACACCACAAACAGAATTTATGTCTCTCCCCAAAACAATAAATATAAGATGGCAATTTTGTTATAATTGTACAATTCAGCTTCCCTGTGTATTATTTGACATTGAATTCTGTCATTGAATGTCTCAAATGTATCGGACATATTCCATAGCTAAAAATTTAAACAAAAACTAAATATTTTTGTTTTCAGTGAAAAAAATCACTTTTTATTCAGAAACAACAAAATGCAATCCACATAAGGTTGTGTTAGTAATTTAACTTTCAGAAAATGTAAGATTTTTTTTATGTGAGGTTGTTTGTATCTACAATTAATGCTCGCAGTGTCAACATTTGGTCTACATTTGTTAGAAAATCTACGTCATTTCTTTGCATTGTGTAGAACAACAGAGGAAAAAAGTCCAACATGTAAATAAGGAAATGATGAGGATTTCGCTCAAGGCAAGACGATCAGCTTTAAGTGCTTGACCAGAGGCTTCATCCCTGAAAAAGACATGATGAACTTGTACCAAAAACAAACAAAAAAAAGAAAATCATAACCTGCTTGTTTTTTGTTTTGTTTCAGATTGTATTTCTTCTCATGCAGTTAACATACCGACTTGGTTAGTGATAAGTTTTTGTATGCTGGAGGCTTTTGACTAGTCCCCAGTGTCTGCTGGTGTACAATGTGCATCAAGTGGAGGGATTTCAACTGTACCCTGAAGGACACCTGCGTATATTGAATGCTGAAGGAAATTCCCTCAAATGTTGAGGATGTTTTGTTTCCTTCAATTCATACTGGTATGCAAAAAAAAAAAAAAAAAAAAAAAAAAAAGTCATTACCTCCCCAGGTTCCCCTGCCTCATTGTCTGTAGTGCCTTTTGGCTTTACTCCAAGCCTATAAACTGCACACTCTCCTCCATAGTCTTGGCAGAGTTTTATTTTCCCACCTTCGACCTGCTCTCAGAGCGTTGCTTTAACAGGAGCTGGTCTGAAGGTTGCTCTCTGTGAGGATGGAGGTGATGGTGGAGGAATCGTAAAGACTGTCGTCATCGTCTGAGCTGAGAGCTGATGAATCCAAAGCTGGGCGTATTGCTGCCTGAGTTTTCCTCCTGTGAGACATAATAATCACTATCAGTAACCACATTCACAAAATCAGCTGCCGTCAGGTTTGATAAAGGAAAAAAGACTGTCTACACAGCTACAGTCATGGCAGGAAGTTTACATACACTCATCAGGAATCCACACAGCCTTTAGGCATAGTGTAAAAATCTTTCAATACGGTTCAGGTCAGGGTTTTGGGAATGCCATTCCAGAAGCTTAATGTTTGTCTTTTTTATCCATTTCAAAAAACTATTTTGATTTATGTTTGGGATCATTGTCCTGTTAAAACAAACAACTGTGTCCAAGTTTAAACCATCTAGGTGTTTACATGCTTGACAGCTTGTACAGTGTTTTTACGTTGGAAAGCTTCACCTTTAATCATCCAAACATACCTCATGTCATTGTGGTTAAATAACAAAATCTTTGTGTCATCTGAGGTAAACCATTTGGGTCTTCTTGGAAAACTGGTGACAGAGCTGAATAACTTGTGCTTACATTATGATTGGTTGAAATCATGAGCTTGGAATCTGCAATTGTTTAGAAATGGCTCCAAGAGACCTAAATCCATAATTCTCATTCTTAGGTTTTCACTGAGATCTGTCAAAAAATTATTTTTATGCCAGCAAAGAGAAACTATCAACTGTAGTTAACCACGATCACTAATGAGTGTTAATAGGCCTTGGCCTTACCAAATACCAAAGTCAATTTAAACCTAATTCTTGTTTTTTATTAGTCATTGAAGATGCTTGCTGTACAATCAATCCACCATTGAAGACAGAACAATTCAAAGAAATCTTTAAAAGCCCAAAATGTCCATGATGAGTGTACATCAACATCTGAGCACGAGTCTGATCATCCTTAAAGTGGTTGGATACCCCGCCCTCTGCTGGTAAAACCAAAGAACTACATGCAATTCATTGGAACTCGTTAGAGGATGTTTGTAATTTAATTTCCCCTGTGGTATATGAGTAATGTACCGTTTTAGTTTAATGAAATCGCCGATCCACATGTGGCTGATTGCTGGAATGTTTTACACACATCAGACTGTGTAATGCTGCACCTCAGGGAGGCTGTGTGAATCTTTACCATGTGTCTGTATCAATGTGTCACAGCTAAACAATGTGAGTTCACTGATTATTACATCATGTGAATGCAGTTTTTTTTCATTCTGTGACGCAAGTAGGAGGAGATGGTGTCTCTCTCAATTAATCTCACACACACACACACACACACACACACACACACACGGCTGTGATAATCTGGCTGCCAAGAAGAGCCTTGCATAATCGTTACCAGAAGCTCACATTGAGTAACAAATTGGAAGAGAAAAGAGGAATGGGACAGGAAAAGGAAGCGCTTACTTAAGCTCAGTCTCCAGTGCTGTGACTCTGGTCTGCAGAGCCTCTTTCAGCTCCATTTGTTCCTCCAGGTCTCTCTGAGCTTTTCTTCTCATTCCGTCTAACCTTTCCAGCTCTGTCTCTCCTTCATCCACCTGCCTCTTCAGCGCCTTCACTCTCAGAGCAAGCTGCAACACCAGTTGACATTTGAGCATGGTTTGCCAGTATGTGTTTCAACTTTTCCACTTTCTGTGAGTGGATTTCTGTATTTACATTCAGCACATGGTAAATATTTATACCTGGTCTCTCTGTTCAGTGTGTGTTTGTCTTTCCTCATCCAGTGTCATATTGAGGTCTTTTAGCTTCCTCTCCAAACGACGTTGTGTTGCCAACACAGTGTTCTTCTCTCTTGAAGTCAGAAAAAGAAAGCAAGACTTCTCAGCTACTGAGCAAAACCGCTTACCAACTCACTGCTGTTACATGTTACAACTAGAAACAGTGACTCAATCACTTGACAGAAAAACGAGCACGACCTAGAAAACCTACAAAACCAATTTAATGAAACGTTTAATTTACTAGATTTTAGGATTGTCCTGAACAACAACTCATGATCGTCATCAATTAATACCTGTGATGCCATCTGGAACAAAACAGTAGCATACTCTATTTGGACAAAAGCCACACCTCCTAATCGTTTAAATCAGATGTTCTCGGTCACAGGTGTAATTTCAAGCACCTAACCATACAGTCTGCCTTTACAAACTTTTGTGAACAAATGAGTTGTTCAAATGAGCTCACTGAAACTGAGTGTGGTACTGTAATGGTCTGTGACATTTCATCAATTCTGCAAAGTGGAAGCATCTAGGAACCACAGGAATGAAGTGGCAGACTACATAAAATTATAGAGCAGGGTCGCTGAATGCTGAGGCACATTAAGCATAAACGTCAGTGCTCTGGTGGCTCACTAATAACAATGCATAATAATCACTTTTGTGAGTAAGAGGAATGTCAGACTCATTCTTTACATTTCTATACAAAAATCTACAAAAACATTCTCAAACACAGCAATAAATAAATAGTTTCACTATATAGATCAACATGAGTGCAGTAGTTGCTGTTTTCACCGCACCTCTCTTCGCTCCGCAGACGGTCTTCCAGCTCCTGGATTTTGCTTTCCAGCTGGGAGACTCCTACAGAGGAACGCGACTGACCCTCCATGTCAACCACACGACTCCTCAGCTCCTTCAGCTGCAAAGACAGACATGAGCAAATATGACGTTAAAAAGTATAGACATGTTGGATGCAAACCCAAAGGCTTTATTTGTAATTAAATCGATAATACATGAGAGTTAAACAATACTTTGGTTAACTTAGCAAACACAAATTTGGTGCATGTGCACATACATGTCTCTCCATTGCATTCTTGTCCAGCTCCAGGTCCTGCTTCGAGGATCTCTCCTGCATGAGCTCAGAGCGGAGCTGATCGATCTGGTCTCTGCTGCGAGCCACACGATCAGTCAGCATATCCACACTGCTTCTCTCCTCCTCCACCTCCACCTCCAAACGCTTTAGTTTGTCCTGATAGAAACAAGAAGAGATCAGTTTAATAAGCTGCTCAGAGGAGACACCGCTGGAAAAACCACACTAATAAATAAACCACACTACTTGTGTTTATTAAAATAATCAGCATTTATCATATTTTGATAGCTATGCTACCCTTGATTTATAAATGTAATAGATGCACTGACTCTGTGACAGTCTGCACATGCAGAGCACAAGTATTAAAAGCTGTGAGCACAGTATCCATGGGTTACACTCCCAAATGATTCATTCTCCCAAACCAGGAGAGGAGCAGATGAGCCGCTTACCTCCAGGATGCGAATCTCTCGGGTTTTCTCATTGTGGCTGTTTTTGCTGGCCTCCAGCTCTCCCTCCAGGTGGCGCAGCCTGTTGGCGAGCAGCTCTTTATCCAGCTGGTGGTTGTCTCTCTCCTCACATGCAAGAAGCAGCTCCTTCTTCTGCCGTGATATCTAGTTAGAGCGATCAGATTTTTTAGAAATGTCATGCAGAATTAAACCCTTGATTATTATTCAGACAGGATATAGTGCCATAACAGTTTGGGTTGATTCCCTTTGAAATGAAGGATCATTTTACACCATGCAGGGCCTTAATCAGACAGTTTTTTTTCCTCGTTACCTGTCTATACACGAATACAATGGAAAAAAAAGAAAAGAAACTCAGTCAAAAGGTTAAAAACACAAGTCCTTAAACCACAGGCACACACACCTCTTCCTCCAGTTTCCGTTTATTCATCTGGCTTTTTTCCAGCTCAGAGTGAGCATCGTTTTCGTGACGCTGCACCTCCTGCACTTCCTTGCGTGCTCGCTCTTTCTGTTCTTCCAGTTGAACCCTGAGAGCCTGCGTTTCTTCTCTTAAGGATACGTTTAGAGAGTCATACTGACAGAAGGACGGAGGCAGGCAGGACAAAACAAAAACAGAATGAATTGTGCTGTGTATCCTCCAGTGAGCAGAGAGGACAAGATATAGACTTTTTTCATTTGCACAGGTATAAAAATGATCCATCCTTCTTACGTCTTTGTTGAGTTTCTCTAGAGCTCTCTCCTGCTGTTGTTTAGTGTCCTCGAGCTGGCTGATGGTCTGTTTGAGGGCCTCCTTGTCCTTTTCTGTATCCTCCAAACGCTGGCTGAGTTCACGGTGCTCCTGGCTCAGCCTGGAGGCTTTCCTCTTAGCTTCATCGAGCTCAGATCTCAGGCCTCTAACCTCAGTGTGGAGTGCGAGCTCTGCCTCTGAGCTCTCTGTAGCATTGCTTTGCAGCTGAGCCTGATGAAACCACAGAGGACATCCAAATAAGCCTTAATGTGAACAGTTTCCCAGGCATCACTAAGCTGGGTGGTGCTGTAAGGGATGCAACCTTACCTCTAATCTTGAGATTTTCTCTTTTAGACGAGCAGTCGCCTCCTCCTGCTCCTGCTGGGCATCATGGAGCGAGTTAATGTCCAGGTGAGCTCTGCTTAGCTGTGCCTTACTGGTGTCTAGTTCCTCTTCAGTCAATGAGAGCTTCTTTTTGAGCTGGGCAACTTCACCCTGGGCCTCATTAAGCTTCTGCTCTAGCTCTGAGATGGTTGCTGGGTCTGGCAGCTACAGGCAGGAAGACAAAAGATAAACCAGAGGATAAACCACAGTCATGATGGTTGACTTGATTGATTGGCTTGATGATTTTAATACCAAAACTACCACATTCAGAGAAATGTGTCGACCAAACTGGCTAGTTTTTATGATTAAAACAGGAGTTTAAATTATTATTTTTTTTGCTGGGAGATTAAACCTACCCGTTTATTTTTCTCTTGTGCTTTAGCAAACTCCTCCTTAGCCTTCTGTAACTGGCCCTTCAACCTGTCAATCTCATACTTCAGTTCAGCCTCTTGGTTCTGGTGAGATTTTTTCAAAGAGATGACCTCCATGACCTTCTTGTCAAACTCCACCCTCATTTTCTCTACCTCAGACTTGCCCTTCTGCAAATCAGCTTTGCACTGCTGGACCTCCTAAACAAAAATGTAACATTTTGTTAAACAGATCATTCGGCAATGCCTCCGTGATCAGATGAAGTATAGCGTTTGTCTACTGCACCTGGCTGAGAGTCTGTGTGTGGCTGGGGTCTGGTGTCTGTTGTTTCATGGAAGTCATTTTGTCTTGGAGTTCCTTTAATTCTTCCTCAAATTCCTCCTTCTCCAGACGGGTTTGCAGGAGTCTAAGAAATATGCACGTGCATCTGATCTTAACCAATCAATCCATATATAATTGTTTTAAATAATGTTTTATTATGTGATCAAGAGCAGTTTGATTGTATTCGTTAATCATTCTGATGTATCAGAATTTGCTTTGGTGTTTTCATGGAGCTAAAAGATTATTTTTAAGTGACACAATAAATTGATTTCCAGCTACCACATAGCAGTCAAATAAATTCACAAGAAAAAAAGTCTATATTATAGTTTTTGCTAAACACACACAAATAAGGCCATCCACACCACTCTTCAGCATCTTAAAATGGACAGTTTATGCCAAAATCTAATTTACACATTTTTCCTCTGTAGTGCTTTTTTTAAAAAAAATAAATAAAGATTGTGCACGTGAAAAGTGAAAATATTTATTATGGATTGCATTTATATAGTGCTTTTCGAGACCCTCAAGCGCTTTACAATTCCACTATTCATTCACTTTCACATTCACACACTGGTGGAGGCAGGCTACGTTTTTGGCCCCGGTGCCCTGGGGCAGACTGACAGAAGCGAGGCTGCCACATCGCGCCATCGGCCCCTCTGGCCAACACCAGTAGGCGGTAGGTGAAGTGTCTTGCCCAAGGACACAACGACCGAGACTGTCCGAGCCGGGGCTCGAACTGGCAGCCTTCCGATTACAAGACGAACTGCCAACTCTTGAGCCACGATCGCCCCAGTTCTTAGATTAAACTGCTGACTGAGTTTAAAAAAAGTTTTATGGTTATGATTGCTCCATAGACATTAGCAAATAAAATAGATGGATATATACTCTATTATTTTACTAGGTACACCCGTTTAACTACTCATTAACACAAATATCCAGTCACATGGCTGCAACTCAATGCATTTAGGCTCACAGCTTTAGACATGGTCAAAACTGAAGGTGAAACAGCATCAGAACGGGGAAGAAAGATGATTTAAGTTACTTTGAATGTAGCATGGTTATTCGTGCCTAATGGACTGGTCTGAGTATTTCACAAACTGCTGATCTATTAGGATTTTCCGTACTCTGTGTCTCTATGGTTTACAGAGAATGGTCTAAAAAAGAGAAAATATCCAGTGAGCGGCTGTTCTTTGGGGAAAATGCCCTGCTGATGCCAGCGGTTAGAGGAGAATAGCCAGAATTCCTTAGGTTGGTGGGAAGGGGGCAGTAACTCAGATAATCTCGTATTACAACTGAGATGAGCCTCTAACACACAAAATATTGATCCTTAAAGTAGACGGGCTATTGTATAAAGAAGACCACACCTGGCGCCTCTGCTGCCAGCGAAGAACAGAAAACTGAAGCTAAAATTCACACTGGCTCACTAAAAATGGACGACAGAAGAGGATGCCTGGTCTGAGAAGTGTCGATTTCTGCTGTGACATTCAAATGTTGGGGTCCAACACGAAAAGCATGGATCCAGCTTGCCTTGTATCAAAGGCTTAGGTTGCTGGTGTAATAGTGTGGCCTCCACTGCTACAAGAACTCAATTCAACAGAGCACCTTTGGAATGTGGAGAACAAGAGATTCACATCACGGATGGACAGCTGACAAATCTGCAGCAACTGTGCGATGCTATCATGTCGACATGGACCAAAATGTCTGAGGAATGTTTCAGCGCTTTGATCAATCTGTGCTACAAAGGATTCAAAAGTGCTAATTTGTTATTAGCAAGGTGTATCTAATGGACATGGACAAAAGACGTAAATTTGATTTTGGAGTTAACTGTCCGTTTAAAGCTTTATGCTTAGACACTGTTTTACAGTAACTCAGCCCACTATATCAACACAACGAAGAACAGGAAAATATAATTTTTTAAGGTTCAAATTGTGACTAGACAACTAGACACATTAAAAGTAGAACTAGAACAAATATGATCCATATTTGATTGTTGGTTTTAGACACAAACACTTTGATTTGGCTAAAAATAAAATCATGAAATACGTTTATTGAGAGCGAATGGCCTTGACACTATAGACAGTTGTTAGCACAGTTCAGCACATCTACAGCTCAGTAAAGCTAAACAAACACTGTTTAGTTTGCGACTCTCACTGTGTTTCAGGGTGGCTGGGTGTCTCTCTGACAGAGAGGGTGAGAAACATTTACCAGGTAGAATGAGAGAGAAAGAATGGAAACACATTAGTAAAGAGAGTGCAAAGGAAAACATGACAAGATGATGACAAAAATCCATGTCCACGTGAACACTGGAAATGTCAAAGTCAGGTCAGCAATGATGACTAAACACTGCGAATGATACGACTGTTACATCAGAATGTATTAAGACTCACTCTTGTTTAGTTGTTCGAAGTTCGTCTCTGGTCGAATGAAACTGCTCCATCCAGTGGCTGCTCTCATCTCGACAGTCCTCCAGCTGCTGCTGCAGGGAGCGAACTGACGCATTTACACGCAGGCGCTCTGCTTCAATCCCTGCATGAGACTTAAGTAGGAGACAGAAAAACTGATCACCTGTTGTGTCATTTCTCTTTCGTAGCGTGTGTTAAATCTCTCTTTTTGCATTTGAATGGCTTTTCCTTTCAAATATTCAAGTAAAACTCAACAAATGCTGCACTTTCACACAGAAAAGCTTTCATCTCAGTCCTTGGAAAGGCTATCGAAATTAAATCATTTTCTGTTGTATGAACCATTTTCAGTATTAAAATCCTTCAACTTGTTTTAGAAATATAAAGAAGCAGCAGTATGGCTTCATACTGAGAAAGAGCTCTACAGATGTGATGTTTGCTTTCAAAGTGTTGGTGAAGAAGTATAGAGAAGGTCAGAAGGAGCTGTGTCTTATGGATCGAGAGCGAGCATATGATAGTAGCAAAGAGTCAGGAGTAGCAGAGAAGCATGTGAGGCTTGTGCAGGACATGTATGAGGACAGCGAGACAGTGGTGAACGGCTGGAGTGACAGATGGGTTTACATCAGGGATCAGCATTGAGCCCATTCTTGTTTGCGATGTGGACAGGTTAACAGATGAGGTCAGCCAGAAATCACTGTGGACTGTGATGTTTGCAGTCGACACTGATCTGTAGTAAGAGTAGCGAGCAGGTGGAGGTATGCTCTGGAGAGAAGAGGAATGAAGGCTCGCGGAATCAAGACAAAGTACATGTGTGTGAATGAGAAAGAGGCAGGTATAACAGCGAATATGCGAGGAGTAAATATAGTGAAGGCAGACGAGTTTAAATACCTGGGGTCAAAGCAGCAGACAGTGCACAAGAGAGGAAAAAAGAGTGCTGGAAAGGTGGAGCAGATAGCATTAAGAGTGAAAGGAAAAGGTTACAAGATAGTGAGATCTGTTTTAATGTATGGTTTGGAGACGATGGCACTGACATTGAGATTTTCATTAGGAGTGACCAGAATGGACAAAATTAGAAACGAGTACATTAATGGAAACGCTCGGGTCAAGCAGACAAAGAGAGGCTACGCTGAGATGGTTTGCATTTGTGCAGAGGAGGAATATAGTGGTACAAAGGATGCTGAAGATGGAGCTACCAGGCAGGAGGAGGAAGAAGAAGACCACAGAAAAGGTTCGTGGATGTAGTGAAGGAGGACACGCGGAAGGTTGGTGTGATAGAAAAGGAGGCAGATGATCTAATGTGGTGACCCCTAAACCAAGCAGCTGAAAGAATGAGACAACCTCCTTGCTGCTGTTTCTTAAGAATTACAGGCTGTTTGACCAATTTCAGTTTTTTAACTTATTTTTCTTCTTTATTTTTAACATGGCTGTACATATAAAATGTTTTGTACCTACATAACTTTTATTCTTTATCCCGCTGCATTAGCGTGGCAGGATAATGATGACAGAATAGAATTTCCTGGATCAATAAAGTATTTATCAATCTTTCTACATGCCAACTGTAAGTGATGCTCAGTTTGCTACTGTGAGTGCACACCTGAGACACCTGCTCCATGCTGCTACGGAGCTTGTCCATATCCGCACTGTACTGCTCTCGCAGCGCCTCAATCTCTTTGTCATGTGATGCCACCTCTTCCTTCAGAGCGCCCTTCAAAGCTGTAAGCTCCCTCTCTCTCTGTCGCAGTGTCTCCTCCAGCTTCTTTTTTAGTTGCAAAACTTCCATCAGCTGCGCCTGACAAGAAACCAGATCCTGCACATGCAAGGAAAATACAGCATTAACCTGATAACTCTGACCACTCGCTCATAAAAATGTCTTAAATGAACATCAACTTCCTGTTTCAGAGTAAAGGATTTTTCAAAAGAATGTAAAAAATAGAAGCTACACAGCAGTTTATTTAAAAAGTGGGGTGAGATAAACGATCCCGGTGCATCAGTGTTTGTGCGTGTGTGTGAGAGGCCAAATGTCTGAGATACCGTCTTGTTGCTGCTCTCTCTTCTCAGCTCATCTTGAAACTCAGCCATCTGGTCCTCCATATCTCTGACCCGCTTCTCAGCGTTTTCTCGATCCATACGCAAATGAGTCAGCCTTCAAGGAAATGAGAATAAAAACACGCCTGTGAGGGATTCTTTGAATATAACCGGCACATTTGTTTTGTGAATAAGCTACAGTAGCTGCTTGTGTCATCCAACAGTCTTGCATGTAGCAGTACCATGCCCTTTGCTGCTTTCCCTTGTAAATGTGTTTGCGTGTGTGCATGCCATTATGGTCTTACTCCGATTGTGTTTCGTTTAATTCATTTTTCTTCCGGTCCAGCATCTCCTGGAGTTGCAGATTTTCATCCAGACAACTCTCCAGCTCTGCTTTCAGAGCAGGATCAGAATTGCTAACAGAGTCCTACACACAGACAGACATGATGAATAAATGAGGGCAGTGAAACATAACACCGTCTGCTCTGCTGGCATAAACAATGGGCTTTTAGGAAATGTTGAAGCAGGGTTGCATTTGTGCACCAATCAATATGTGTAAGAGATTTAAGTTATAAAGAGCTATTAGAGATTAAGACCTGCCCAGCTTCCTTAAGACAACATATAATGGGTAATTATTTAGATTAGTGTGTGTGTGTGTGTGTGTGTGTGTGTGTGTGTGTGTGTGTGTGTGTGTGTGTGTGTGTTGCTGACCCGACCAGAGAGCTTAAGGGATTAATCTGAGGATTAATCTGAAGCACACTCCAAGCTAAGGAACCCCCCAGTCCTCCTGGTAAGATTTGTTAAAAAGGCACAAAAACTCAGAGGACAGTTTCTGAGTCGATTTGGTTGGTGGAGTAGCTGCTCTCATTCCAAGAAGAGTGGCTTGAGTGTTTATGTGAAGCACTAGATGTGATCCGTGTAATCAAAAACGAGTTACTCTGGTAGGGTACTCTGAATGTTAACACCTTCTTGAGGCTGATTTGAGAAAAACTAGTCAGGTCCGACAAGATACCGAAACTACAGGAACTGTCTTAAAATCTAGTGCACAGTTTCCACTGAAACTGAAGATAATGTGACTACAGATATGGTTCAAAGTTCACATTATGGCTCAATTTGTCCTACTCATTATTATTATCATAATGTGTCACTTTAACACTGCTGAAGTTTTAGTTTAGTGTAAATTTCCTTACTCAGTGCCAGTTTACTGAAACAGTCAGCTCAAGGTATTTATATTGAACTGCAAAGGATTGTTGGGACCACCCCAACAATCAGATGATAAAGCACTTAGCAACGTTTGGGAGAAAGAACTCCCTTTTAACACAAAGAAAACTCGACCGATTGGAGGGTGAGGGGACCAAAAAGAGAGCAACGAGGAGCACAGTGACACCAAAAAACAGTAAATAGGACAAAATACAAACTACAAGAAAGACACGAAAGTACTGGTATAGATATCAATATCTCCGTCTTACTTCTCTTTTTCTATGCTCCACTTACCTTCCTTTCTTCCAGCAGTGCAGTTTGTAGTGCAACAACCTTTTCCTCAAGCCTTCTTTTCTCACTCATCCACTCCTCCCTCATGCTTTGTTTGGGCTGTCAACATAGTGGACATAGATGAAAACGGTCTCTTCAGTGGACAGCAAAAGAAAAACTCCTTATAGAATTTGACACTTTCAAAACAAGCAAACCTTAAGGTGCTGAATGTTCTGGAAGATGAGCTTTACTTTGTGCCTCACGATGACATCGGTTTCACTACTCCTGTGAAAATGAGAAACTGGTCAAATGACGAATTTACAAACACGTAACTATTTGCTTTTCTACCATTTTATTTAATTAGCTGAATGCGAGCAGAGCTAATAACATGAAAGCACGTACCCTTGTCTCAGGATGTTGTATATGGTCTTCATGGCCTGCTCCTCCTCGCTGCTCAGCTCTGCACTCTGACCCTGGTCCAGCAAAAGGTCAGGGGTCACCTTAAGATATAGATCAGAAAACTACTCTTGCAATAGTGCACGGTTTACGGTGGTCAAAGCTCACTGAAAATCTACTTTATTGTGCAACCACAAATAAAACCAATTCTTACTTGTGCCTCAGTCAGATTTGGTCGTTGTGGCTCCAGTGAGGCCCACTGATTCGCTGGCTGTCCAGGAATTTTGGTGACATTGCCCTGGCTGCGCCTCAAGCTGCTGTGAGTTGGCGATGGGGGTGAGGTGTAGGGATTGGCGGTGGTGAGAGGAGATGTAGCTCCTGGACGTTGCTGGGCAGGGGGCAGTCCTCTCTGCTGGCCTCCAGCATTAGCACTATCAAACCTGTTTATTAGCTTGTTGACAGACGTCTGTCTCTTGTTAGAGTGTAGCTCGTTTGGCTGAGGAGGGGGCTCGGGACTGTCCCTCACTGACCCCAGTGACCTGTTAAGCCCTGCCTGATAAGAACCGTGCCAGATATTTCTTTCAGTGCCCCTCTCTCTATCACTGACATGCCACCCCTGCTCTCTATCTCCCCTTACTCCAATTCCTCCATCCAGATTCCCATAACTACCAGACTTTCCATCTCCTGGTGGTCTAGATAACTGATACTCCTCGTTACTCGGCCCTCCATCCCTGTCGAGAAGCGACCCATGAGACTGAGCCCGGCGTAGTAACCCTCCCTGCTCTCCTCCTCCTATGTAACCTCCCTCTGTTCCTGGCTCTGCCTTCCCTCTGTTCCGAGGAAGGCTATTATAGCCAGAGGAGTACTCGGTCTTGAGCTGAACCCCATATGAATCTCCTTTTTGTCCATCCTTCAGAACCACATATGGTTGGCCAGCAATTCCCTGCACTCTGACTGCTACACCATATTTAGATGTGGTCTGAGTCTTGGTCTTGGGCTGGGGTGCAGGCTGCCCTCCACCATTCTGATAGTCATTGATGAAGCGGATCTGGACACCATAGTCCACCGGGGTCGTCTGACCTGAAGATGGTGTGGTCATACTGGCAATAGTAGAATAAGAAAAAGTTAGATATATTTTTGTAATTAAAAAAATAAAATAAAATTCTGGTTTGAGACTAACAGTACTGTGCCAAGTATTAAGCGCGCCCTCATTTCTTTATATTTTTCTTCCAGTGAGCCAGACATTCTTGTGTTTTCTTAACATGGCCTTGAACAATAGCGCTCCAGGCTTGCTGAAGGTCTTTCAAATTTTGTCTTTGAGCACCAACTACTTTTTCACTCAAGTCCTTGACATTTTCTTTTCTTTTGCCAAGCAGCAGCCCCCCCAAAAAAACAATCATGGGCAGCTGAACAGTATCTGAAATTCATGTCCTTAAGAAAGGAAGAAATGTGTCAGCAAAGACTTGATACAGAACATAAAAGATGCATCTGACCCCTTCAGTTGATCCATCTACTGCTTTCCAAAGCCTCGTCAGACTGATGAGGCTTCATGCAATACCATCTAGAATTACTCTGACTGGCAGCAGCTTTATTTTTCAGCTTGAAACACACTGCCAATGTAGTAAAAGCATAACTGGATGGAAAAAACCCCCACATTGGAACACTATTGGTTATGGATTGACCTCCCAGAGCCTAGACCTCAACATTATTGAAGCAATGTGGAGTCATCTTAACAGAGAAAAGAACAAAAGAGCTTTGAATGTCTGTTAAGAAGCCTGGAGAACTATTCTTAAAGACTACTTCAAGACATGGCAAAAAAGCTCACCTAAGAGAGTTAAAGCTATGAATGAAGATGTTCATGATTTTCAACATGTAAACTCTGTTTCTGATATTTTGATTTCTATATGCTGTATTTCTATTAATGTTTTACCTGTAATATTAAATGTCTGCACCAAATTTTCTTCAATCAAATTACATTTTAGGTAAAAACCCCCTCATGACACACAGATCTTTTGTTTCATTTGATTTTTTTTGCCAGTTTCTCTCTTGTATGTTTTTATATTTCATCTATATGATTTAAAAGTGCAGGTACAACAATATATACCTTATATGAATGTTTTAGATTTTTTTTTTAAAAAGGGAAATGATCAAAGATACTTGTACTTTGCTTTCCATGAGGACATTGACTTCTGGACCACCAATAATGGACAACCTGCTTTGTTACAACCACCCTCTAGATAAAATTCTGTGGCTCTACAAAAGTATGACTACATAACAATGTTGCACATCAAGCTTTTATTCTGATAAGATGGTTACTTCTATCAGCTGTATTACTGTATTGAAGCAGGGAGGGAAAAACTTAGAGGAATTTGTGCATGTGTCAGATTTTTCCCAGAATAGAAAGATTTCTACATGCAGGGTTTAGCTGAGGTATGTGTGTGCAAGTGTTCCCACACCTCAAATAGAAAATGAGTAATACTGAAAAATATATGGCGAGAGCCACACCTCAAACATCAGCTGATAATAACTTTGAGTAAATAGCAGTCTTTGATGTCATTAAGATACTGTGACTCATCGTTCATCCACCTGACCTGCACACATGAGATTATTTTTCACTGTAAACTGTAAGGCCATTTTTTAATGTCAAAAAAAAAATCTCATGGTTCTATAACAAGACTGATTGTTTATTAAAAACAGATCTTCATATAGTTATTTGCTGTTTGTCAAGTATAATATTAGTGTCAGCTTTAAAATTCCTCAAATTGTGAAAACAAATGTATAGACAGTAGACTTTAATTAACAGGTAATTCTGAAAAGTAAAAAATAAGAGACACAGACTTCCTTTTAAAATACGTGTTCTGAGATTTATAGGCGCTTTCTAGCTCTTTACTGCTTATGTGGACTTTAACCTCAGTGCGCTCCATTAGTCATTAACCTGAGAGCACACACCCACATATCACTTTCCCCTGTGAGGACCAACTAAGCCTTCTGAAGCTCTTCGAAGTTTCCAAATCTAATTCCCTCAACTGAACTTTGACACCTTGAACACAGACAGCTACTACAGCAACTAGTCAAGTGTCACTACTGCTTTCATTAACTATATCTGAAATTTCTCAATTCGTCTTTTTCTTGACTGCCTAATCCTAACTTTTTACACTTCCTGAATACACAAAATGAGGATTTCTAAAATAATGTTTCCATTCATTGCACTTGTTTAAGCTTAGTCACTGCCAGCCTTTTTCATCACTACTGATAATAACTTGTTTTAGGTCACCCAGTAAACCCCATCCCCCAGGACAGCACAATAGTATGGTTCATTCAACTCTCTCCCAAACTATTACAAAACTACCCCCCACCTCTGCGCTCTGCACCTTCCATTTCCTGTCTGCAGCCTTTGGAGGTGACAGACAGAAAGTGGGCTGGGAAACAGAGAGGGAGGGTGAAGTGAGAGAGAAAGAGAGAGAGAAACACTCCACTTTTCTCTTCTTATCAGTGCTGAGTGTGATAAAATCCAAAGTCAAGCTGTTCCTCCGAAACAACCCTCCCTCTCCTCCAGTCCTTACAAAGGACTGGCTACAAAAGTAGCCATCAAATAGATAACTATTTCCACAGACACATACTTCCATAAATTATTGCAACACTTTTTAAAATTTTCTATACTAACTTTTTAATCTGTATGACAAGACAAACCAGCCAAGCTCCTCTGAGATAGAAGTGAGACAAGCAGGAGTGGTAACTATGAAAAGGGGTTTTATATATGAAGCAGTTTCGGAGCAAGATAAGAAGGTAATGACTGGCCCAGCAATGAATGGAGTGACGTCACTGAGAATGACCTTCGAAGGTATCTGTGTGCAGCTGGTCGATTTTTTTCACCCTTTGGGAACCACAGAAGAAGCGCCGTGTGTCACAACAAGTTTGTGAAGCTGAGCATAAAGTTTTCAGCCCACTCTTGTAAACCAAGGTCAACCAAAAGTGTGGTCCACTGACGACTGCAGCACAGACACGCAAGATAGTGCACTAACTAGTAATCTTTGATTTAATGGGACATACTCATCTAAACTGGTGTGACCCGTAAAGCAACAAGTAAGCCAAACTGATGTAAAGAAACCAAACTGTAAAGCAGAAACATGTCTGTCTGAGAATATTTGTTTATTTGTCACAGAGGAGGAAGGCACTTCCAGCTCCGACAGCGGGACGAGGTTGAAGGAGAACTCATCCCATTGTCCAGCTGATGTGGGGCGGAAAATGAGGGCAGCAATTCTGGAATGCTATAACTACCCCTGCTGCTCCTGCCCCTTTCTCTTCTGTCACACTGTCCATCTGATTAAAAGAAGTCATTTTCAATACTTAAATTTTGCTTTTAGGCTTCACTCCAAAGTTTTTTTTCTCCACAGCACTCTAAATAAACATGCTTTCTATACTGAGAGTAGGATGGCAAACAAGCTCTCCTTTGATCTTAAACTCGTGATGTGAAACTAACATGTCACACCTAAGGTGATTGTTTCAGGTCTGTAAAACACAGAAATTATTATTATTTTTTAAATACAGAAAGCAATCCATTACCCAATAAGCGACTAAACAGTGTTCACTCTGGAGATCCAGAATCTTAACTATGAGTATTGCAACTTTAATAACAGACCAACTTTGCTTGCACAGCTATATCTGGAGCTTTTGTAATTTCATGAGAGTCGTGCTACCCTGCAGTTATGCAGACGAGCCTGCGGCCTCAAACTCAATTCTCAAAAAGTAAATTGAATTGAAGCTGCTTTCATTTTAAGACCTAAGGTGGAAAGGAAAAGAAAAAAAGAATTAGGACATCAGAATGGGTGAGGAGAAAAATTAAACAACGGCAACGTGTCAAATCACATGCCTCTGCTGACTCAGAATCCACATGGCTAATGTGATAGCATCATCTCTAGACTGGCCCAAAAATGACACAGCTGGAGATGGCAGACAAGGGTGATGGCAACATGTGCCAAAAACATATCCTTAGGGTGTAAAAACAACCCTTCATGTCAAAACGTAAGCACTACAAATACGTAAGCACGTGCTATGCTTTTAAGTAAAGCCAGTCTTCTCTCGTTCTCGTACGAGAACAGCTTTGCATGAGTCACAGTTCAAAACAAACCTTGTTTATCCTATACTGGTCTTTGGTTTCACTCCTCAATTAATAAACACCCCAAACAATTCATTTAGCTGCTCTCCCTTTAAACTTTCTTTTTATTGGCTACCAAAAGCAAACAGAAGGTTTGAAGAGCAAGTGGGCGGAGCTTCTGTCCTCATAAAGCCACAAAACTGGACTTGGCAGAAAAAGTTTTTCTAATTACACATCTTAAGCAGAAAAATAATAATGTGCTTTACTACTTCTGTAAAAAATAAAAAATAAAATAAAAAAAATAAAGCAATAATTAAGATTTTTGCTTCCAAAACAGAATTTTGATTAAAGAACTTTTAAAGAACAGAAACATAAAAATGATTTTGGTTACCGATACTGTTAATTTAGGGCAGATGTGCCATAAACCCTACAATGCACGGGGGTCTAATAAATTTGGTAAGCATTGTATAAACGTGTTAAGAATGAAAATGTAAACGTCTGTGTGCTGAATGAGGTTGAAAGCGATGGAAAACAGCCAGACACTAAACAAGGAAGAATCAAAACACCACTTCTGAAAATATTTGCCTTTAAAAAACCCCAAACAAAACAAATCAATTCAAACTGTCATCAACTCATTGCTAGTTGGACTATTTGAGAGCTAGTTTACAGCATGCTATAAAGCTGGCATATGGATGCTGTAAAAACACATTTAATCCTCCTTTTCTTCCAAGTGAATCATAAAGTTTTACAGGACTGTCCTGCAAATCACAAATGTGATCATGTAAGCAACAGAGATACAAGTGCTGTACTCTCTCTTCTGCTTTTAAAGGACAGTCAGGTACTCAGTCCTCAGAGTATACTCCCTCTCCATTACATTCTTGACATAACACCAAGCCCTCATCCTCTTTCACCCTCAAACAAACACCCATTTATTCCTCTTCTCAGGCCAAAGGAGTTCATTGGCATAACAATGTACAAAAAATGACACAAAAGTAGGAGCACATAAATACACCCCTCCCTTTTCCAAATTCCTGACACTGGTCTCTCTGTCCTTTACACATACAGGGGCGGAAAGTGTGTCAGTGTGGGAGACTCGCTTTATGGCGTTTTATCTGCACACTTGAGTGTATCAGCTGCTTGTACGTGTAACACGGCACAGGTCTTTATCTGTTAGTCCAATGTGAGGCATTCCCACCACATTACGAGTTCTGAAACTGTACCCGAAGCTTTGCAGGCTCAATGCTATAATTAGTGAAATTCATGACCCAATCCATGAGCCTTTCCCCACCTCAAAACTATAATCTGCTATTCCTTCTTGCCCGTGTCATCAGTTTCACATGAGCTGTGAAGAGAACAAAAGCAGGTGTACTCTAAATGCATGTTTATCCATTGTTTACCCGGGTTCAATCCTTTAATGGTTTCCCTACAGTTGCATTTATCCCTTTGAGCTATGTGCTAAAAAAACCTTCCTCCTGTACCGTTGTTCCAGTGACAGATCGCCTGGTCCCACAGGTGTACACAGAAACACCTGGCTCATTTCTAAACAACTTAATGGTTTTAAAAGTTAAACCTCTGACATTAAGCCTACCTTCGCTATTCTTACATTTGTCTTAAAGAGACGTATTATTCTGTTTTATTTGTCATTTGGTTCCCCTCATTAACGGGCAAATCCAAAAGTTATCTTGGAGTAACATTAGCTGGTAGCGCTGTTTCTCTCGAACCGTCGTTAGCTGCTCAGCTACACTGGCTCACAGTGACACACTACCAAATAAACTATTAGATAACTGCCATAAATCAAAAATAAGTGCCGTTTGGCAGCACCAGAAACCCACAAAGCGTCAAAGTAACTGTCCGAGGAGCGGCGCCTGTCGGGTTTAGCTGTCTGGCTATGAGAAGTCCCAAACCCAGCGTGAACTTACCTCTTTTTTCTGAACTTAATCTTCTGCTCCTCTCGTATCCTCTCGCCTCCTGTATGCCGATAATAATTTAGATATATTGACTGACATCCATTAAAACCCACACGGAAACCTGAACAGAAATACCTAACTCCTACGGAAATTATCACAGCAATAAGTTCATTATGCTGCTGCTGGGAATGCAACCTGTTACCTTTTTGTCAGGGATGTAAACGTTCCGCCCAGCCCCGCCAAGCACGGCGCTGCGATTGGACCGTTTCGCTGGCTTGGGCGGGGCTATTGATACTGTCTAGGGTTGTAATTGGTGAAACCTCCATGCCAATCATTCCTTGTTTCTGTACCATTTTTTCACCTTTTTTTGCTGAAAAATGGAACTTGTATTTTTTTTTTTTTTCAAATAATGACCCGCGTAACCTAGATAAACAAGACTCTTCAAGGACTACTGATTGATGCAGGTGCCTCAAAACGTTTATTTCTCCTCTTGACCAGTAGATGGTGCAGCCGTACACCAGCTGGTTCCTAAGGGTGGCAGTTTGCTAGATAGCGTGTGTGAAAAACACACCTATATATTTAGACTATGTCTGTTCAGAAGATGGTCGCTTAGGTTTAAGTTGCTATTTTTTTAAAATTATAATTCATAGTTTCTTTCTTTAATTTTATACTAAGTTAGTATTAATAGTATCGATACCAACGCTGGTATTTGTATCAGATTGATATTAGTGCAAAGGACTGACACATTTTGATTTGTTTCTATCCTGTAAGTTCAGTGTGTAGCCCACGAAATTTTGTTAAACACTTTTTCTTAAATGTTTGTTAAAATAGTTTTTCAACTTACACTGGGCTGTAGCACTTTGCTATCATAGCAACAAGATTGTAGATGGCATCGGTTGGTGTCTTCCAACCAAAATTGTGATTTTTTTCCTTCCCACTGTCACCAAGTGCTTGCTCATAAGGGGTCATGTGATTCTTGGGATTTTTCTTACTAATACTGTTGAGTCTTTATATAAATATAAATCACATTGAGTTAATTATTGTTGAGAATGGACACTATATAACAAAATTAAATTGAAAATTGAGAGCTTGAAAAGAAGGCAACAAGACTTCTTTAGATTTATGAACTGAAGAAGCCTCGTGCACAAGAGGGGAAACATCTTCATGAACCTAATGAAGTCCAGTCTACTATGACCTGGATAACTGAGAACCTACAGACATATTTAAACTTCACTTTTCCATTTTAAGCACAATTTTTGACATTGTAATAGGTTACCCGTGTAACTTTCCATTTAAGAAATCATGGGAACATCCCTGAGTGTAAAAAACATATAAATAAATATAACTTTTATGTCCTTTGTTATCCTTTTCTGTTGCAATGTTATGTGTGTAGAGCTGAGTTGAACACAGTTACTAAACTTATTATGTGCTGAAGAATAATAATAATAAAAAAAAGGTTTTAGAGGTTGGGTTCTGGAAATAAAAAGTTTTCATGAGATTTACAATCTTCCTTGTTGCGTAAAACTGCCACTCCGCCCTGTGCGCGCAGCTCCTCCCCAGAAACCAGCGACATCCCCCAGTCTGCTCACTCCAACTTTCCTCTCCTTTCACTCCTCTCATCACTTCGCCTGGTCGACAGACTGGACGCACCATCTCACGCTCCGGGAATGGGATCTTTACTGGGTTCAAAGAAAAACTTCCAATTCTTTCGAGTTTATGCTCTGCAAAAGTTACTTTTCAAATTGCAGGGATAGTTGTTACTGCAGGTGCAGGGTGACAGCAACACAGAGCAGCTGGCTAATGATCTCCAAGACGCACCAGAAGTTGTGAGAGAGTCGCAGGAGCTAGGAATCAGCATAGAATCATAAAGTGGGCTCTGCTTAAAGTGATTAGTCAGATACCCTTGCATACCAAAGTTACTTCAGTCGAAGTGTGAACAAAGTGAGTGTGCGTAAAGTTGGAGCTGTTGAGAACGGCTAAAAGTAACTTTTAAGGGGAGGCTAATGCAAGGAGGTGGGGAAAAATCCAGTAACTTTTAGTAAGTTTTAAAATCAGTAAGAAGTGTCATCAACTTAACAACCATGGCAAAATGGTTCAGAGATTTCCCCATCAACCTGAAGAACGGAAATGAAAGAGTGCGCTCAGCCTCCGAATCTGGTCCACAAACTCGACCCAAACCTTCATTTTCACGAGACAGTTTGAAAGGAAATCAGCGCAGAGATGGGGGAGTGGGGGGTTTGTTGGCAGGGAGAAATAGAAAGAATTCGGCTACAGAACTGGGTCGTAACAATGCTGGTTCTGGTGGAACAGTCTGGGACAGTCTCACGGCTGGAAAAGGTCGCAAGAACGCCAAGAGCGACACCGGGTCATCGGATGAGAACCGCCAGGTCAGGACCTCTAGTGTGGCTCAAGCGTACATCAGCAGGATGATCAAAGTGGACAAACAAGAAAAGACCCCCAAACTCAATGGGATGTGTCAACAGAAGCTACCCGAGAACGAGAAAGGACGATCTGACATTAAAACAACGGTGAGTAACTTATAGAAATTATATAACATGCACATATAACAAGTCTTCATATTTCAGCAGCTATTTATTTATGAATTAGTTAATGAAAACATCATTATAGTACAGGGCTTAAGGTCAGTGCTTTCCTTTGTGTTTTCCGTCCATGTCTCAGATCATAACACTGTATTCAGTTTCCATCGTTGTCAAAAGAATACAATACAGTTTCACTTCATTGTTTCAGATCACACAGGCAAACACAATGCGCTGACCTCCTTGCACAAGTATTTCCGCTTGTCCCTCCATTACTTGTCACTCAGTCATGGACACCACACACATACACACACGCACACACACACACACTGCTTGTTGTCTCTGTGACTTTTGAATAGGTAGCAGGCCGGCATTGTGCTTTTCCCTTTTCAACAGCTGATTATCCTGGAGGACTATGCAGATCCTTTTGATGCGGAGAAAACCAAGGAGCAGAGAGAAGCCGAGAGAGCAGGAGTGAATGATGGGTACATGGAGCCTTATGACGCCCAGGTCATCATCACAGGTGAGGTCAGGGTCACATGATCTCATATCTCAGCAGCCAAATTTTTATTATGAAGGTGCTTCTTGGCTTTCCAGAGATTTGGACTGTTTTCTCAGCAGTTGAGCAAATGTGAACGACATATTTTTGTGAATTTCGCAGAAGAATTCAGTCGTGAACTTAGGCCTACAGCACATCTTTAAACAGAATGGCAGAGTCGCTTATAGAAACACAACAATAACACTAGCAATGTCCGTTCCTACACCTTCACCTTGTATTTTTTTTTTATTTGACCATCTTTTGTTTTTCTGAGAACTTAATTCCACTTTTTTAACATTTTGCCTCACTTTGTATATCATGCTTGATAAGCCAAATGTATTCTGAGCACATAAAGGAACACTAATTATACATCTTATTTAAGTTTCTCAGCACTTAGACCACATCACATTCTTGTTAACTTATCATTTTAAAGGGACTGAGAGCCGAGCTAGATCCTCAGTCTCTCTACTGACTTCCCTCCCCGCTGGCGGTGGCTATAGTAACAGTGTTGTGCAGGGACAATGGGTGCAGCTTCCTCTTCCAGCTTCCTGTCTCCTGCCTCTGTTTCCTTTGCCCCATTCTCTCGATAGGACATTGGCCCTAATGCCCTCCTGCCTCCCCTTCCACACATACACAAACACACAGAGACAGACACCAGCTACTCTATGGTCCCCTGCATGTGACAAGAATCGAAAGCCCCCCTCTCACCCCTCCCTAAAAACCTACAGGTTTCCCCCCGGTCTCACCCAATCACTTCCCAACAGTCAGGAAGCGGTCCGGTTAGTCAGCCAATCAACGGCTGTGTTGACCTTTTCTTCCTGTAAATCCATTGTTTGGTCACACAATAGTGTAGACACACAGGCTACCTGCCGGGCACCAAATGAAAAAAAGAAAAAGGAACATAACAATTAAAATTCCCCGAAAATGTTAAAAAAAGACAATATTCAAACAATACTTGATTTATTTAAAAGAAACGAGCAAATGAAGGACACAACAGTGGAGTCTATATATGTAATCGGCACAATGTTGCTTTATAGACTGTGTGATGTAAACTCCTAATTTGTGCACTTGAGTGAAAGCTGGTAATAAACTAAGGATGTTTCTAAACTTCAGTTTTGTTGTTTATTTTGTCCAAAATATCTGATTTGGACTATAGTGGTTATGTTTGAAATGGCACGTAAATTATTTCAGTAAAAGTACATTTGTAATTTTTTTTCTACTGTAATTTAGTTGTTTTTCTGTGCCTTTAGCTGATCAAATCTTATATACAGTTAGCTAATCACATATCCATTCTGCTGCAGAGGTTCGTAGACGGGGCTCCAAAGACCTCCTGAAAGTGTGTGTCCTGTTGGATCGAGGCCAGAGCGAGGGGAAGGCAGAAGAGGGAATGCCTGCACCCCCAAACATCTATGACATACCCTACGAAGGAGGACTGGAAGGCGACAGTGAGGGCGTGTGGATCCCTGTCACACGACCGGAGTCTGATGTCCGTCCAGCTGGAGAGTACGAGCTGCCGTGGGAGTGGAGAAAGGAGGACATTGTTAGAGCACTGTCAGGTAGAGAAAAGGAGGGAGGGATCACGGGAACGGTGGGGGTTTAGTGTTTAGGGTGTGGAGGAATAACGTGGATTTTGTTTGTACAGCACACACATAACAGCAATTTTGTGTTTACTTTATTGAGGAAACAAAACAATCCTTCTGAATTCATTTCCAGAGATATGTTTACTTTGGTATCACTGGCATGCTTTGATAGAACTTTTTATGAAAGGTTGATATTGTCTCTCCTGCTTCTTTTAGCTCAGTTTGAAGCGGTGGATTGTTCTCTCAGTAAAGAGAACAATTCGACCCCTGGTCGCCAGCAGCAGCAGCAGCAACAGCAACAGCAGCAGCAGCAGCAGCAGACCCTGAGGCAGAGGAACTGGAGCCATAAAACACTTGTCTCCTCTTCTCCTTCATCTTCCTCCTCCTCTTCCTTTCCATCTTCTCCTATTCTTAAACTCGCCCCTCTTACACAGCCATCTTCCTCCTTTCCCACCCTCAAGCTCTCACCCTCGTCCAGCCCTACCAAACTTTCCCCTCCATCTCCTACCTCTCCCATTCCCCCACTGGATGGGGAGGCGAACAAAAT